CTACGTCTAGTTTTTCTTGTTTCATAAGAATTCACAAAATAACCAAAAACCACCTATGCTAATCTGGTAAGCACCAGTTACACTTATATTTTGAGAAATTATTTATTAGTTATTGTGTCATTCGCTTTAGAAAATACACAAATCAATCGTTCGATAAAAAAACATTTCACTTACTCTATATCATCATTTTATCACTGACCTAATAAAAAGTGTTTGATCTAAATTACTGAAGTTCATTTACAATGTCAATTGTTGATAAATGTAATTTGAACTATCTAAAGCTTAGCAGTCGGTATCTAAGTTGTTCCTGATCTGTGAATCTTATATTGATCGAAGAAAGTTATTACATACTGTAATAAAAGAAGGCTTAGTGTTGGATTGAAACATATATCAAATCAATTAGCATAGATTACCCTTGTTTGTCTGACTAGAAATTAATTCTCCTTTCACTAGGTATTTTTTTCAAATACTTGGCTAACCAACTAGTCTAATATAAGTAATAAAAGTAAATATGAATCTGATCAAGATTGCTATCTCGAACATAAAGGTGATTCCTATTTGTTTAATTCTTATTCATAATTTGATAAATTAATAAAATAACAAAGTTATTAAATCAAATATTTCTATGGAAATATTATCTTAATCGATAATAATTTTCATAAGAAATAGACGTCAGCTGAAAAACCATTGAAAATGTAATGAAGCTGCACAGTCATGTTATTCTGGTTTGAAATTTAACTTAGCACCACTCATTTGTAAGCACGTTCTAGATCAGTTCTAGTTTCATGAAACAATTCTTTGATAATCATTGGTAATGTTTGCTGATATACGTTCACTATGATAATTAATAGCCAGGCAAATTTCACTTTAGTAGTCTATCTCATATCTATATACAAGCAAAGGTTTCATTGCAAACCGACTATAGCTGAAGAACGATTAAAGGCCAAGCAAAACTCGAAAGCTTTTACTTAATAATCAGATCTTTTAGCTATGTTTATCGAAGATCGCATTGAAAATGAAACTCAGAACACTTAAGTGTTCCCTAAATCACCAAGCTGTTAGTTATTGGTTTAAAAATATGACTCCAATCATTACGCAAAATTACGCCAACATATTTTCATGTGGCACAAAGAAACAAATTACATCAACTATATTGTGAATTTAATTCGTTTACGTCAGCCATATCGAAACCATTTGCTAGCTAATTGATTGTCTGTAGTTCTACCACTTTTTTGACTTAGATAATGAATTATGAAAATTTTTTACTGATATAAACTGTGTCTAGCAAAAAAATAAATCGGTCTAATTATTCATCTAAATCTGTTTTATACAGTATTATGTATTATCACTAATCATTGATTACTGGAATCAATATTTTGTGCATTATTGATTAAAACAATAGCATCATCACAATTAAATACTCATTTTATACCGGTCAAGCAAATCAAAACTATCGATTCTTTCTTCTTCTCCAAAAAATATTTTGATAAAAATGAACCATTTGTTACTCGATTATGAAATGAATGATCCCTGAAGTTAATTATGAAATACAAGAGAATTTTGTTTGTTTCTTTTACCTACTTAATTATTATAAAGTAATATGAAATAAATTAAAGTTTTTCCTAGGTCTCATGGATATTTAACTATAACTAATTCAATATTAAAACTATGATTTTTAAGAATTTCGAAATGATAAAAAAAGAAAATTAAGCCTGTCATCATTTAATTTATTTATATAACAAGATATTTAGGTACAGCCTGATTAAATAGTTTTTAATATTATGAATCAGAGGAAATAAATAAGTCTACGATGTCTTAATTTTTCAATAAACGTGGTTATTATTCAATGAAATGAGAATTAAATTATTTTCATTATCGATATGATGAATAAGATCGTAACTGATTAGAAAAATGACTGAACTAGGATAGTTTTATTTTCTACAATACCCTATCACATATTATCATATTTTATGAAGTAATTATATAATTATATCAGTAATTTATTGATTCATTAATGTCAATCACTATTTGGTTTGATTCATTCAATCTCACGACTAATGAGTAAGAATAAAATAAATAAAAATCAGTGCATGGAAATATATGTTATAGTGAATTTTCATATGTTGCCTTCTACTTCTTCCTTGTGTCGTGCAAATCTGAATTTCTTCTGGCCAGTTTCAACTTTTTTTCTAGATTATATCAAAATTTATCATCATAATTACTTGTAGAGAATATAACTAAATGTATTCGGTGTATGTTGAATATGATGTTGAACTAGTAAAATTTTTATTTCTAAACAAAATAAACTACATTTTGAATTCATTTTACATGTTTAAAATGATTAAATTCAAAGTCGTAAATGCTAGAGGTTTATGAAATTTGATGTTGTCTTCTTCAAAAGTGAATATTTACAATCTTAATTGATTCAAGTTAATTATTTTTTAAGATTTAAAGTGAGGAAAATTTATCACTTAACTATTCTGACCACAAACGTCGTTTGACTTTTAAATGTCACTTGATTATTACTATTAGAATGGGGGTTTATGTAGATTGTAGTAATTGTAGTAATCCTGAATGCGGTATTGTGGCTGCACTCTGATGAGGAAACCCATGTCAGGACGAAACGGCCGTTCAATGCTTCCAGGCTTTCAGTGGTGGTATAGAATAGATTGACTCATGAAATCAAGTGTTAAAAAAATTGATTAAAAGTATCGAGACTATAATTTAGGGACGAGCCAATCAGCGTTTGAGGGATCTCAAGGTCACGGCTCCGATTTCGGTACATGGCGCTCATGTACGTATAGTTTACAGAGGATTTTAGATAAGATATGATTACTAAGCGGCTACAATAAATGGGACTACTAAGAAGTTCGTTTATTTTTAATTGCGGTAATTAAATGACTCGTAAACTTTGTGCAGACTACCATGATGTTGTCTTTCGATGTAATATATGTTGGAGTAATAAGTCTCCTGGTATAGGAACTGTTTCGCTCGATCCAGATTGAGACTAAGGTAAATTATATTAATTCTCGCGAACTGTATAATAAAAGCACCAGTTAGATTGGCCGAAATATTTTCAGATGTTACTGAAGCTTCAGCTGTTCAGTGGTATGAGTATTGTAAGGATATAAAATAAAAATAAAAATGACAAATGTGCTCAACCGGAGTACACACAAACAATACTGAATCTATGTGGTCGAGGCTGAGAGAGTTTTTGCGACCTTATCGTGGCTCCAGAGACCGACTATTATGGAGCCATATGGGTGAGTTCCTCTACCTTCAAAGGTCGTCCATAAGTTATAGTCTCGTCTTAAAAGTCAGCGAAAGCCATAAGTAAACTGATCAATAATATTGCTTAATCTAACAATAGTGAAATTCTGTCATGATTAAGTTAATTATTATAACAATTAATAAAGAAATACTGGATGAATGTACACATATATACGTGTTGAGATAAAAAGGTTGATCTTTGATTTGATATAACTGATATTTCCAATTTATTTCATGATTATACAAATATATAGTTACTTGGATTATTCCTAAATATGTATTACCTTATCGATTGTCAATATCAAAACAGTATTCTTTTGTTGAAAGACATACTCATACAAAATATCTATTACTCAATTCTTTAATGAATAAGCATTTAACATGATTGTACTGTTGAGACCTTCAATAGTTCATACCAATCAAGTTACATTTATGTCTTTGTATTTCTGTTTTTTTTCAAAACTATTTTGTATTAAAAGTTCAGGTCTATTTTTTTTATAACAGTTCTCTAGTCAGAAAAAATGTATTGAGCTATCCAAACATAGTTCATATTCATTTTTATACACTATATAAACTCATATTTGTTTTGACAGCTAGTCACTAGAGATGTGATTATCTGAACATATTTCTACCTATATTCATGAAACTTTTATCCTCTCTGTTATATCTCGTGGAGATTTATGAATGGTAACTTTGAGAACTGTTTATGGACCAACATATGTGTATTTCCTATTGTATAATTGTTAAGTAACTAAACTATTCATATTCGTGTACCTCTTATTATAAGCTGTATTTTGATGTATAAACTATTATTATACGATTTACCATTCTTGAGTTATCCCTAGTCTATTAATTACTGTTTCCCACACTCATAGACACATTTGGCTAAATCTTGTACAAATGTTATTTTCTATTTTATGGTACGATGCGGTCAGTTTGTTTGGTATATAAACCCAGTATGTTTGTGAAAAATGATCCATATTTCAGAGGCTGTTATTAGTGTTCTGGACTTAATTGGTTGAGAAGACGAAGATTATCAGAACTATGTGATATATTAGCGCAATACATTTCGAACAATCTGATCACACATATACTTGTTAAGAACATTTATATATAAAAATAAAAGGTCAACTAGACTGGAAATAGGGGTAAGAATAGACAAGGATAATAATAATAAAATAATGTGAAAACAATTTGACACCTAATCACTCTGGATAATAAGCATATATTACCAGGGTAGGTTTAAGGAGAGAACAAACTGTTTTTGAATACAAATTGTTTTCACATTATTTTATCATTATTATCCTTGTCTATTCTTACCCCTATTTCCAGTCTAGTTGACCTTTTATTTTTATATATAAATGTTCTTAACAAGTATATGTGTGATCAGATTGTTCGAAATGTATTGCGCTAATATATCACATAGTTCTGATAATCTTCGTCTTCTCATTGCATTATCGAAAATTAATTGGTTGAGTTAGGCAGAAAGCAGGACTGATAAGTACTCAAGACTACTCATACGGTAAAATCGTGTATCATTACTCTGATCGATAACCCACTCCTCTCTGATTGGCGGGGATCATCACGTCATACAATAACTGGGCACTAGAGCCAATCGATATAACACTATCTTTCTATAAATCCGACTTATTACATTTATCAGACTTTTGAATATATATATATATATATTTTATATCTCTTTTTTATTATTATTTCATTATGATATTTAGAGGATTGTATACAGATATACCACATTTATGCTCTGAAACTGGTTATTTAATCTGGATTGAACCAAAACAAACTATGCATGTTTTATTTACTTATGGAGATACAAATTGTGATTTTTTGTAAGTTAACCAATGAGAATTGATTTAACAATTTTTAGTTGAGTAAAACAAAATGAATTTTTGGTTGATTTAATAAAATTTTAAACATTTCTATATGTCGAAGATCAACAGACAAAGTGTTATATTTCTATCTTTTTATCTTGATGAAAATGCACCGCCCAGTGCTTCCAGGTTTTCCTTGGTGGTCTAGCTTCAATTGACTCGTGATTTCAGCCATGTGAAAATGTATCCGTTTGAAAAATCTTACAATTTTCATTCGAGATTTAAACACTTTTCTCAGAAGATGTTTGGTGAATATTATAGCTTTGGACGGCCGATTCATCCTATTGTGGGGCTCCTCAGCAGTGTGCATCCACGATTCCGTCTCGCGAGATTCGAACCCACGGCCTACCAGTTTCGCGCACGAGTGCTTAACCAGTACACCACTGAGTTGGCATCAAACAGTGTTAATGTTTAACTTCAACCGATCTACGAAATTGAGCAACCGTCTACCATTGTCCTCAGTGAGTTACTATCTCACAACAAACACAGCTGAACTCCACTGGTCACTGCTTCTCACTAGAACTCCAGGAAATACCTAATGATTGATGATCTCAACTAATAAAATTTAAATCTTTGTTATACAATATCACAGAAGCATATGGTACTTTATATGCAACTTATTTGGGAAAAATTACCAGTTTAAATGAAATATATTGTGAAATTGACGAGTTTATAGCATATTATTTCTACAGAACACTAGTAATTTCTCTGTTGCTACAGTTCATTGACACAATTTAAAATAATCTTTCCGAACTCAATGGGTAGTAACTTAAAAAAAAAAAAATATCCGCTTGTATTGTAACGAGCATCTAGATTTTATCTGAAGTGATTAAAAGCAGGAAATAACAAGATATAATGAATAGATATTATTTGATTAATGTAAGCAAAGATGGATAGTGGCCATCAGTGGAATCCAGTTTGACGCGCGTTTCGTCCTATTTAGGACTCGTCAGCTGGATGTAGCTGCATCTTGGAGTCGATGTTCACTCTGGAACTCGAACCTGGTAACTTTCGCGTCAAACGCCATCGCGTTATCCACTCGGCCACTGAATCCTGATAGCCACTTGCTTGTGCGATGAGGTGAATTAAGGCTATATCGAGGCAATACGCACAGTATGCACATATGTCAATTAGAGATTGACCAGTCGCAGTCCTAACACATCGATGGGAAGATTCAAACAAACAATACTAAAATGAATTATTTGATTATGTTTTAAAAATCTACTCTATTCAAGAGCTCTTTTATAAAGCTATAAAACGATGATCATAAGATTGATATTAATGAAAATCTTCTTAAATTAGTATTTCAAATTTCACACGTTTAAGGTTATGTCAGCATAAAATTAATCTACAATTAAAAAAAGTTGTATACTGTCAAGCTATTGAAAACTACTAATATGAAATTGTTAGGATAATTGTAAGAGTCAAGCAATTTGTAAACTACTGTAATCAATTACTCATGTCCTGAATTCAGAGACTTAAAACAACCGAGGCTTATAAACCTGATGAAGTTGTTTTTTTAATGGTATTGTAGTGAATAAGAACACATAGGTGGAGACAACCGGATGTATCCGAATACAAAATTACAAAATCCCTTATTAAAAACTGAGAACCATACAGTAAATACTTCATTTGCAAAATATAAATCAACTTTCTCAGACTTCATTGTCCTTACGTTTTCACATCAATGATTCTCTGTTCTCTTTCTCTTTTCTTCGATCTTCTTAACCTTCTGTCATCAGGTGTTCTACTTTCGGATGATGATACATACAACTTATATCTGTGGATATCAGTAGCACACACCACAGCAGTATCATTATCTGAATAAAACCAATATTCATGTTAGTATTTATACATAAGTTAAACAATTTTAACGTACATTATTCCTAATATCAGTTATTTATTTGATTGACAATCATAAAACAATTAGTTAACCAATCAAAGTATAAACAAAAAGTGATGAAAACCTATTTTCAAATAAAAGTGAATATTAAAGCATGTAAGGAATGCATAAATTATAGCATCCAACAGTCAGTACTTTCAACAATAACAAAATATCATTATGCTTTATTCCATTATTGAATATAATGATAACTAAACTGATACGTACTAAAGATAACAGCAGGTTATATTGGACTATTATAATTGATAATAAGAAAAAGAAGAAACATTCATAAAAAGAATTGAAAGTTCTTCACACAAAAAAACAAGCATAAAAAGATTCATTTAGTGAATTCATACTTTTTCAATAAAGAACCCTAACAGTAATGTGTTCAAGTTGTAAGGTAATGAAGTAAGATTTGTGAACTAAATGAATTTCATGTTATTCGACTAGAATTACTATTCCCAATTGATTGAAATTAATACATGGGTTACTGCTTACATATTGTAAAGTTCCATTAAACTGACTAATTTATTCAAATCATTATAACATATAAGTCAAATCTTAACAATGACAATTTTATAAGAAAAGATGGATAGTGGATAGCATTGGAATGCAGTTTGACGCGCGTTCCGTCCTATTTAGGACTCGTCAGCTGGATGTACCCGCATCTCAGAGTTAATGTTCATTCTGGAACTCGAACCTAGTACCTTTCGCTTCAAATGGCATCGCGTTATACACTCAGCTATTGAGTCCTGATAGCCACTTGATTGTGCAATGGGGTGAAGTTTAAATTCACTTGATATTGTTTGTTTGAATCTTACCATTGATGTTTATGACTGCAACTCTGAGATGCAGGTACATCTAGCTGACGAGTCCCAAATAAAACGAAACGTGCGTCAAACTGGATTCCACTGTTAGCCACTATCCATCTTTGCTTACAATGCTTGTGAATTAAGGCTATATTGAGGCAATACGCACAATATGCACATATGGCTAATAATAGACTGGCCAGTTGCAGTCCTAACACATCGATGGGAAGATTCAAACCAACAATACTAAATGACAGTTTTGTTTTATTTTACAAACAATAAACTATAAATTTACTTTATATTTGGATTACAAATTTGTTTATATAATTGTAGAATCGGAATACAATTTAGCGAAAACATAGAATCTCGCGACAAATACATTGGTATAAAGACATTTTCCATGTACAATTGAGAAGTAGGCATTTTGTTGTAACTTCACTGAATATGAAATCAGTAAATTAGATTATTAATGAATAAAAAAACTAACTACTTAATAATAAATAATAATCGTTCTGGTCAAAAATGTCATGTCCAGGACTTATATTATTGATATACCGAGTACAACTTGAGCACTTGAACGCTAAAAGCTTCCAAGTCGCAAATGACAAGACAAAAGACGAATGAGAAGGAATTCTATTTTAGACAGTATCAAATATGGTACAAACCTCTCAGGTATATATAGTTTTTAGTAAAAACGAAATCTTTTTAAAACAATTAGTCCCTTTGATAAATTTCGATAATGCAATGAGAAGACGAAGATTATCTGATAATCTTCGTCTTCTCATTGCATTATCGAAAAACGAAATCATCATTATGATCATCCAATCCGTATACAGTGGTTTTTAGCATTTGTCCAATAGGGAAGCTACACATCGAGATTCCGGAATGCTCTTCTAAAAGATAATTGGATGGAATGTCTTTGGCTCTTTCTGAGTTTCGTAGAGCTTTCTTGATTTCACCTGTAGGCCATCCTTACAAAAAATTATTTTGTTCTTTTTTATCCTCAAAGTATAAATTTTCATATTTTTTTCATAGATGTTATTTAGAACCAGAAGTTCCAGGTGTTGCAATAAACTATTTGGAGCCTAACAGAATAAAACATTTTCAATATTTTAATGAAAATGACTACAGACCAATACAAATTCATTCAGGATTAGCAGCATCAATAAATGGTTCCACTGGTACTAGATATTCATGTATGGGATCATTGTTTAATACATTTTCTTATGCAATCTATTCAGAAAATGCTCAATGTTTTATTGAATTAAATGTTTTGAATAAAAAACAAATGAGTGAATTAACTGAACCAATTTCACGTCCATTCAAACTTAACTTTCGTTTAGTTCTTTAGTGTAAGCAGGATTATCTTAGGAGTCTTTATTTGTTTACTTCTATTAGAAAAATATAGAATGGAGGTCTGTCATTCTGGAAATATTTGAATGATAATCTTTTTCACATACATTAGTTTATATGTCATCGCATTTTCAGACTATTTGCACTGTTGACATATGTGTTAACTAAAAGCTGTATTATATTTGGTCAAACTACTGCAAATGACTTTGTTTATCTCTAAATGTAACTTCATTTTCATGAACTATGGCTTGTTTCAAAAGTTTCAATAAAGATTTAATCAACTCATCCTTTTTTGATATATCTGGATCAAATTTCAATGTTCAAATATTTGCTTGGCTGTAAACTATTAATTTTCATTATTTTCAATCTTATTTTATTTGATGCCCAAAATAAATATTTTTTAAAAGCACTTCATTATGACCAATACGATATTATGAACTATTGGACAGTTGTCTTAAAGAGGTATTGGTTAGATTAAAATCAACTAAATCAAATGATGACAAATTAATTTAAGTGGGATCGCTACGTTTGGTAGTCTGGTATTTCTCTGTTTGTTTTGTTTCTTTACTCTATTCTCACATAAATGAAACTCTGTCCGAAATTAATTTATTTACTACTTAGGCTGTGCTAGAGAGGGAGGAAAGCTCTGAGGCTGGAGTACGATAGGAGAGATTGATCGGCTAATAAATTTTATAGTTTACCAGTAAGGATGCATTGATTAGGCGGCAACTTCATTTCAGTCAGCCTAATACTGAACTGAGATAGGTATTGGAGCAAAAGAAAGAAACTTATTACATTGATTATGATAAAATTCTAAACAGTTATTTTCCGAAGGTGTATAGAGAGTGCTGGAATTAATTTGAAAGTATCCATCAGATATAAACCCACTCGTACCAACCAATTTATTAAGGTCCATAAAGTTTGATTATAACAAACAGAGGTTTACTTATCAATAACAATGATGATGAAAGTAGATGGTATTTTCAAGTTTGGTATATGAAAAATAAGTCAAAAAGTAAGGTAGTGTTTGACTCAACCAGTGTACCACAGCTATTCTTCACCACTTTATAAAAAGCAAATGACGAACTAGTGTATTTCTTTCACAGACTATATTCAGAAGAAATCTGAATGTCTCACGGTAAATAGGAAGTGCAAAACAAAATCTAATGAAATAACTTACTTCGTTACGCCTTTTCTTCCTCATCAAGCATGGGTCACCAACCAGGAATATGTGACCTGCTTTGTCCTGAACTCTTCAGTAGTTTCCAAGTGCTTTTCATTCTTTTGATGTCTGCTTCCACTTTCCATTAAAACGCGTCTATTGTTATACCTTTTTTTCCTTTTTCCTTGAAAATTCGAAGTAAGAATGTTTTGTGATGCAGTTTGATGTTTTCGCAATTCATCATTCCGTTGAAAGCTAGTTTATTCTTTTCCACGGTGAACTGCTGCTAATGGTGTCCAGCCCGTGAATACTGTGTATCTTGTGTGGACAATTATTTACAAATACTTGTACCTTTTTTTACGATGGTTGTAGTAGGTTTCCAAGGTCCATCTCCAAACAGTGGGGCTCTCTCTATGTTTGCACTGAAAATTCGAACTCCTCAGCAAGGTACATCCCAGATTCCGCACTCAGGACTTGAACCCAGGGCCGTCCAGTGCTTCCAGGTCTTCAGTGGTGATCTAAAATTGACCAATTCATGATATTTATCCAAACTCGACAATCTCTATAACCCTATACTGGTCTTTGGAGAGTGTCAGTGTAACTCCTTGTGTGTGTGACATTCCTTTCTTCATAAGCAGAATACAACAACACCTCTTCTGAATGTAACCTCTTCTGTCTCGCCTGTGTGCAATGGATTTTCCCTGATTCTGAGCACCTTTGGCTTATATCTTTTCGTTTTCATAGCTATTTCAATGGTTCTCACGATGAACCATATCGGGCGGATATTACGTGTGCTTGTACTAACCGTTACCTTGATTGTCAGAAGGGATTCTGAGCTCACAAATGATATTGGCTTTCATCATCAACAATCATAAGTTTTGCACACAATTTGGAAGGCATATTTTGAATTTTTCCTGCATATAGTTTTGTTAAGCAACGTTATTTTCAACAGGATGTGGATCGCTAGCTCTATATTCAACCATCCCTTTTTCCCCAAACTTCAGACCAACAGTAATTGTTGGAAGGCTCTAGACATAGGTAAACCTAGTGAATAATTCGTGAGAAAATACACGAGTACTACAGTTACGAGAAAGGAATGATTTTAACAGTGAGTTATACAATGGTAAAAGAAAAACTAAGTACTTACAACATGGAAATGAAACTACATGGAAGGCTACATGTCTGTCATTCGTTCTCTCTATTTCTCTTCGGGAAGAAATACTTAATTTCGATTGATTCACGAGCAAAGTCACTTAACCTATATGTCAGGAATATGTTTACTGCTGAGGTGATGACTATTTGTACATCTCTAAAGGCTCATTCACCAGATGCTAAACAGTTTGATTGCATAAAGTTACGATTTCTTTTCATTTTTCGCGCAGTGTGACTACTACTTTCTCTTAAATTGAGAGTCCTGATACATTTGATTTGTATATCAATAAATTGTCTGTTTCGCGCCTGAATAATACCATTTAGGGGCTCACCAACGTGGTTAATTTAGTCGGTGAGCTGAAGTTAGTTTGTTTCTTAGTGTCGGTAGACAATCGAATGGGTTTTACTACTGAATTGATTTTGCAAGTAAAGTAACATGAATCAATCCACACACGTTCCAAGACCACATCAACGATTAGTCAATCTGGATTAGTTTCCTATATCTTTGACGGTGTTTAGGGAACTCATCCAACATCAGACACCTAGTCTCCTATAGTATAGATCCGTCCAGTTTGGTAAATGTTTCGATTGGGGTTCAGTGATATTTCACTGACATCACAGTGTTTGTTATAAATTCCCAAATCCTCTGTATATTTTACGCCTGTACGAATGTTCGAAAAGTATGGTAATATTTTAGATTTGAAACTAATTTTGGGATGATCAATAACTGTCTCCATTAATTAAGCTACGCCCTAATGTTGTGTAGAAACCAAATAAAGGGAGTTGCATAAACGACGGTTTCAGATTTTGTTATAAATATGAATGCGCATTATTGCCTGTACAAATATTACCACCCAGCAACTCAACCAATAACTGTTCAGTCAGTAATCAAATCAAGTGCAACAAATAAATGTTATTCTATCATTTCTAGATAGATCACATACAGATTGCTTCTAGTTCTGGAAGAGTACTGCATTTCATAATCAAAAACTGCACAAACTAAGTCAGTGCATGCAACACAATTGGAAGGGGAAGCTAACCATCGTGGCTGCTTCCACGGTTAATTATCGACTAAAACAATATTAACGCAGTTCAGGAAAAGCATGGAAACTGAGTGAAAGCGAAAGGAAAAGAAAAACTACAGAAAACACAAAAAGTGCCATCACAAATGGAATCAAAATGATCAACAAATATTCACCTGAAGGAATCAAGAGTAATAAATTACGAATGTTTATTTAGAGGGATTTTCAGATACATAACCTTCAAAAAGGGTATTGCAGTTATCACTCAACCCTTACATTTTGATAATCTTTTACGGTGAACGTTGGTCACTCAAAAGTTATCCAACACCCCATGAACTATGATCGAAACATTTATTAGCTTGCTAACTTATAATCAATCTATGTTGATGTTGGTACACTCTGAGCAGGTTGACCATTAAAAAAAATGAAAAGAGAAATTAACCCCACATCACAAATAAAACGGTATTGTAGAAAGCAGATAAAGGTAAATTTGGATCAGTCTTAATTATGTTATCCGGAAAGCACCACTTAACTGTGTTAGACTAATGCTTGACCACAATCCAATGTTGGAGAATACTACTCCTGAATTAATTTAAAAGTGAGTTATTGAAAGTCATATCAGCAGATGTAATCCTTAAGGTCATTTTGAGGATGAACCCAGCATTCTTTTGGTTGTCAATACCACTCCAAAATCAATTATCCTAGGGACATCATACATTTCGAATGTGTAGCTCCTTTCTACCATCATTTGGATTACACAGTCACAATGCAAGTTGCAAAGCACGTTTATCGTCACTGTCGGATAATTGCTGTAAACAATCTCAATTGTATCATTCAAAATTTGTTAGGTGGTCCAACAAAGCTGTGTGCCTAAACGATCACCTTTACCGTTTTGTCGTCGTCTCTTCGAGTCTCGCAACGGCAGGAAGTAAATGGACTCATTGCAAGTCAACCGGCGGTAAAGCACCGCGAAGGCAACTGGCCACTTAGGTTGCGTGGAAAAGCTCCACAGCCACTGATTGCATATTGAAGTCTCAAAAATACAAACCTGAAACTGCTGCCTTCCAGGGGATTCGTCGTTACTTAAAGAGTATTGTAAGGATTTATTCATCTGCTTTCTTCCGAGCGTTTGGTCCAAGAAATCTTCCAATATGTGGGACACAGACCTACGACTACAGAGCTCAGCTGTGTCTGTTCGTCAAGGACCTAATGAAGCACACTTAATTGGAGAATCTGAAACTGGCAACTAATGCGTTATACATGCTAAGCGTGTCACTATTGTGTCGAGAGGTATTTAGCTAACTCGACGTATCCGCCGTGAATGAATGTAGAAAAAATTCGCACACCAGTGTACATCGCCAACGTGGATGATCCGCGTCTAGTGATCGTCGGCCTACTTGCATTCGATGGCGACTGTGTGACCGGCCTGCTAACGCCGAAGTCACATCTCACTGCCAGTGCCTAATGTTGATTACCCTTTCGTCAAATCCAGGTACCATCGCTATTTTGATGACCATACACTGCGAACGACGTTATCCCAGATATATAGGAGTAACGGCAAGCCTAAGGATCTGAATGTGGTCATTACTGAATTGACCAAATCATAGCGCGCAACTGATTGATGCAGAGTAGTTATCCCTGACCTTGACAAGGATCGGTTAACCGCTCGATAATCAGTGATCAAACCGCCGGTGACATTTCACCGACCCTACAGCACCGTCAACGTTCAAGAAAATTCCCCTAAACGTGTTAAAATAAGTCCACAAATTGAAGTTTCTGTTTCCGAGATCTATTTTGACGCTACCTTTACGTGTTATAATAGCGCAAATATGATATTAATATCGTCAACTGATTTTCCCACAGACAAGTATTTTGTAGCGGTAAATAAATCACCAAAATCAATAGCTCTGTAAGTTTTCGACATCGGATGCTGACTACATTCGTTTTGTCGGACTCATCTAGCTGAAGGCTCTCAATCATGCATCCGCACCCGATCATGAGTGGGAACGCAGTGCTCCACATCCCTTGCAATCACTAGGCAGCCTAGATCAGTCGATTCTCAATATATTGATAGCTTATCAAATATATCTTCAAAGCCCCCTGATGACGACTTTTGAGTTCACCAGATGGGTACGATTCATAGTAGGTTTTACTGGTTAAAGCGTTTTCAAACTCCAAATACCTGTGACAACTTCAATTTCCAAATGTTTGTTCTCAGGTTTTGCTGCAATAATATTAGCTAGTTGGATTACTCTAGGATTGGATAACTCTAGCAAGCCGTGTGAAGCGTTGCCTTAATGATATTTCAGGGAAAGAGTTTCCTAGTAGAATGTTCATATTTCACCCACATGACACCTCGAGGCAAACGTAAATGCGAATACACTGACTGGTGAAAACAAATAGCTGGATCCACAAAGTAGAACAGTGCTGAGGACATTAAGCTATTATCCAGCACTAGAATATATTAGTAAATGTACCATCTGGTTTACACTGGGACGTGGAAAGGATATTGAAAGCTGCACGCTGACCTTGAGGTCAGGTTGTAGCCGTTTTTTTAATCTTGTCTAACCATCCAGTTTTTGGGTCTTTATTACGAAACTTAAGTAATTAGTAATTGAGAAAACATCAAAAATAAAACGAAATGTATTCTTGGTTATGTCGTTTACTTAAAATCTGTTCATTAACACCTGTGCGGTCAATTGACTTCCAGTAAAGGGCCAAACATAAACAAGTGCGAATCCGACCAAAGGTCAGCACCGGTTCTTGTTGAACAGATGGCTAATTTTATGCGATAAATGTATAGATTGATTATATTTAGGTACATTTTTCGGAAATATATCATTTTCTCGCGGACTGTTCAAAGGTATTTATCTTTGAAACCATTGTAATGGTTAACAGCTAATTCAGAATCTAAGTACCTACTATAATCGCTTTATACGAGCTTTTAGGAATGCTTGTCGGGTAATACCAGGTGTTATCGCCACCCAGTAAGTCACAGGTAATGCTGGTTTACTATTGGTAGTCCAGATTAATTGTGTATTGAATGAAGAGCTTGTTGTGTCACGACTTTTATCACAATGCGGATTGTAATGAGCCATTCACCGACGTTATAAGATTCTGCAATGATAAACTGGTTTCCCAAAAAAATGTTGCTTATCCAAGTGATTTTCAAAACATTGTTATTTCGGTAAGTTTGCATAAACGGTTATGCTATCTGCTATGTAAAATAACTTCGGATTAAAAGTCTTTCCAGTGATCTGTTTGAGTGTCTTCGAAAGCATGAGTCGTTACATTGTTTCTTTTCTAACTGGTAAATCTCTAACCATCTATTGGTCTAATTCTTTTTACCTTTTAGTAAAGTTGTAAGTCGTGCTGATACATGATGTCAGCCAAGCTGTAGACCTTTCTCTCATCCTACTCTTGATGTTATTAAAAGTCTGCAGAATAAACCGGGATTTTGCGAGAATAGTTTATCTTTTAGCTGGCACCTGCTTCTAACAGCTATAATTTAATCGTAATTTGTGACACCTCTTTATTGGTATAACAAATATATATAAGTAATGGAGTTTCCGACCCTTTATTTCAGCTGTCTACTTATGTCAACAGTGCTACCTTCATTGGATTGTCCAGTCTAGCAAAAACCAATAGTGAACTAACTTGTGGATCGCCACACACTGAACGTTAAGGTGCAATACAAACCTCTGATGTTAGTGTTGATTATCTCTCAATATATATTTGGTTGCACTCCGCAAATTTAAGTTTTCTTATCTTTATCTGTCGCTAAGTGCTGCTTTTTTGTGATTCCACATTAAGCAATGAGGGAGTCTGGCCGAATGACTAGTTACAATGATTACTTCCCTGTGGGACTGGGTCGCACTAGCTCCAATTTAAACAGCGACACCAACTTCGAATTCGCAAATTTGTTAAGTCGCTATTTTCTTAAGACAATAGGTTCTTACTGATTGCCTAACAGGAGAAATAATACTCGCTTTATCAGCTTAACTAAATATGTGATTGAAGATATAGACTAGTGGTACTGATAACTATTTACTAGTCAATTAGTAATGATAGTAATAGCCTGTAGCAGATTTTTCGACAATTGTAGGTTGGTGGTTTTAAACATACATTCGAGGGTTACAATCAATAGTTTTTGCAAATATTTGCTAACAACACTCATCACCTTTGAGGCTAGGAAATTTAACATTCACTAATCATCCGATCTCCAGACTTCAAGAAGTACGTTTATTTACCCGGCGCAATCTTTTCACCTTCAATGTTAATTAGATACTGAACCACAGAAATCTATTTAGTCAATTGTATTTATATGAAGGCAAAATTAGTTTGCTTCCAACTTTGAAACTTCAGACGTATTTACGCAGTAGCCCTACTCTCATCCTTTTTCACTGTTTTGTTTTAGAACGTTTTAAAACTTTATATTTCTACCAAAAATGACTTATCATGAAATGTACAGAAGCACTACACTGGGGACTACTCTTCGTGAAGCCCTAGATGAAATGCTAGCACATAATTTACTACAGCCTGGAATGGACCACAAGGTAACCATATGAAACTATGGTTAAATTTAAACTTCTTAGGTTATGCAGAAGTTCGACCAATGTATAAGTAATGCTTTGGCAAAACGTGTTAAAAACCGTCTTTCGCTTCGTGGTCATCTGAATACTTACAGAAACTGTGACAACGTATGGACGTTAGTGATGAATGATGTGGAAATAAAGGATTCATCTGCTATTATGACAGTTGATAAGGTAAGCTGAAATTCCCCGTTAATTTGCAAGATTTAATTCCGTTCTTGAGAGTAAGCGTATTCCGTATTCTTAATGTACTCGACACCCTCATCAATATAAGGTTTTTCTTGAGTGTTCTGCACAAACCATTAGGTAACTTCAGTGACCGAGCCAGAGCTAATTAGCTTCTCTATTGACTATATTAATTGGTTTCTTAAGGTTAGCCATCATTCGAATGAATCCCCTGGAAATGATAATACCTTTACATAATAATATGACCGATGGTTTAGAATATTTTTCTCTCAGCTATACTACGATAATACGTTAATATGATGATCAGACTAGTTACATTATATCAAATCCAGGATTCACGACCCAGAATAGATAACCATTTTAACACTAGATGATGCTTTATTCGGCACAATTGCAGGCAGTCGCACTCGGTGAGTTAGGAGCAGAAATTAATAGGGAAAAGAAATCACATTTAACAGTCAGTACACCGAGTGCCTCTTTGTCTGCGCTCAACAACCAATAATTTACTTCCACTACCACATAACTTTCCGGGAATCGATCAATATCTTTAGCAACTTGCAGTATGCAAATACAGTGAGAATACGGTCTTCCGACCACTGTGAGTAATAATACACTGATATCTATGACGTATATCCATCCCCTTCCGTTAGAAGTGCTCTTCTGTTGAAACTGAATAATAATGCCAGGATGTTTGGGATGCGTTTCTCCCCAAACCAAATGTAAATTTTTACTCCACGACTGGCCTGCGTCAACACCTGAACTAAGGATAGGAAGTGAAGTAGTCAAACACGTCGACAACTTCACTTATCTTGGAAGTCTGATCAGCCCTAATGGGTTGGTGTCTGACGAAATCTCAGCACGGATTCAAAAAGCCCGTTTGGCTTTTGCCAACTTACGTCACCTATGGTAAAGACGAGATATCTGTCTATCAATTAAGGGACGAGTATACTGCGCAGCAGTTCGCTCTGTTCTACTTTACAGCTGTGAAACATGGCCATTAGGAGTAGAAGATACTCGTAGGTTACTAGTATTTGACCACAGATGCCTTAGAAATATTGCTCGCATCTGCTGGAATAACCGGGCAAGTAATAGCAAGGTTAGAAGCAGGGTATTAGGGAATGATGGTAAATCAGTTGATGAGGTCATGAATCTTCATCAACTGAGATGGTTGGGTCACGTGTTACGTATGCCTGAACACCGATTACCACGACGCGCTGTGCTGACTAGTATTGTGGATGGTTGGAAGAGAGTTAGGGGCGGCCAAACCAAAACATGGCATCAGTGCTTGAAGTCACTAACGTCTAGCCTGAGCCATGTTGGCAGATGCAGACTACCTGGTTGGGGTCCGCGTAACTATCGTAACCAAAAGTTAGAGACTCTATGTGACATGGCTCAGAATCGATCACAATGGCGTAGGTGTATACATTCTTTATCTTCCCTTAAACCTTGAGATTAAAATTTCTTCATAACTTCCTTCCTGTGCTGTATCCTTATATACAACCTATAATTTATATACTACCACCACCACTAAATTAACTACTATGAATCCGATGTTGATCTTGTTGTGCTAACGAGGTATGGCAATTTGGACCGAAGCATATATGTGCCTGGTCCTACGTTATAGCTGACTGACTTTGGGACTACCTATTAGGATTAAAGAGCGCAAAAGAATCCAGACTGTTGACTACCTTGCTTGTCTTGAAGGTTTCAACAGTTTTCTATAGGTGGCTGACGAGGTTGAAATTAGCAATACTCGCTAGCGTTTGCTAGCTAGCATCCCCTGTGGCGCATGTGCATACATCATTTTCTTTTAAATCCAAAAGCCGTCCCATATTCTTAGCTAGCAGCTGAAGCACATCTATTAACTGGTAGATAGCAAGCTCGAACACACCTCATGTTTGCCTCGGTTAGTATCATTAGCCCTCAAACAATGCGGTCTAGAGTTGAATAGCACATAAATGTGTCCTTAGTAGATAAATTACATCATCACTAAACCGTCCACTCTATACTTAGTCTTCGTCAGTGATTTCATTATTTGATGCTTATTTTACCGTTTTCCTTTCAGTGTGAACTGTCATTTTGGACATATAAATATTGTTGTTAGGTCTAAATATCCTAGTTACTGATTGATGTAGTTCGTTATTCAGTCAGAGCCTAGATGATTTATTGCGTCAGTTTAATTTACTTAACTGTTAATAATTGTGAAATCGTGTGTTCAGCTTTGCTAGAAGTTACAGTAATTACATAAGGCAACCTTATCAATTGTCTGGACTGTTATTTTCTTTTGAATCATTACCACTCCGATAATACAAACAGACAGTGAAACAATATGACTTGGAAGCTCAAGTTAGATTTATAATGTTTCGTTGATGATATAAGAGTATACATTAAGAACTTAAATTCAGTGTTTTCTATGTGATTAGATTAACTGAAATATGGTTTCTGTATTACATTACCAGGTGGTCCGAAAAACTTGGAGAATTACTTTAAATTACGTATTGTATTGTGCATTATGTAGTCCTCCGTCCATTAAACGGACTTGTGTGCTTCAATAAATCATTACATTGAGCAATAGCTTTCCAACAGTTAAAGGACATCCTTTTCATCCTAATAGAGGCTACCGTAAACTTCCACTTGGTGATTGACATTTAGCATATGTTGTGTTTGTATGTTTAATAGCAGATAATCTTATTAGTATCCAGCGAGAAAACGTTTCGCTAACAAACCTGTATTAATAACCAATCATTAATACTTTTTGTCAACTTTCAGATAAAAATAGTTGCTTGTGAAGGCAAGAATGCAAAACCAACTTCCTCAAAAATATCCGTATCCTCAATCAGTGATCGTTCAAGGTTAGGTGCTGGTATAGGCGGTGAGGATAACGAACAACGCGAAGCTTTTGATTCTGGGGATGAGATGGAATAACCAGTGATGATTACTAGAGTAATTTATTAAGGGTGATATGAGAAACAACTTGTACAAATAATACTAAGAATACAATTTTTTATCTAAGAAATTATTTCTGACAAACGTACATAAAAAGAGAATTTTGAAAACATGATAATCCGTAGAAGTCTCTTCATTTTCTAACTAAGTAATATAGACATGATTAAGTATCACACAATTTACTGAAATTAAGCCTGATATGTAGTGGAAGCTGCTGAACCTCCATGACCTGTCCAGTCGACATGAACAAATGTGCCTGGATTGTCGGTTTTTTCAAATTGATGGGCTCCAAAATAGTCACGTTGAGCCTAAAAGTAGAAATTAGGATTATTTAATTCATGAAGATTGTTTTAAAGAACTCCAGCTGTTCGTCTTCTAAGGCTACTTCCAGTCCCAAAACCACACAAAGCGGGAGGGTTGGGCATGGGATCGACAACCCCTATCCTGTAGAAAACAACTTTGCTGAAAGAACGCTAACCATAAAAAAAAACAATGTAAGCCACTTAAACTCTGCTCTCTGAGTTTAAGGAAGAATTATGATGTCTCATGACAAAAGCCGAGATTCTTCAGAACTCACGAGGCCAATACCCCTTCTAACACACCAGAGCAGCAGTTTTTATAGGTACATGGAACGTCCGGACAATGTGGGAGACCAAGAGTATCAGTCAAATAGCAATGGAAATAGGGAGGTACAACTTGGCAGTACTTGGAATCAGCGAAACCCATTGGAAAGAAGCTGGACAGCAAAGACTAGATATGGGGGAGATGCTGCTGTACTTTGATCACGAAGAAGAAAATGCTCCACACGCTCACAGAGTTGCTCTAATGCTGTCCAAACAAGCACGAAATGCACTTGTAGGATGGGAATCTTATGGATCCAGGATAATCAAAGCATCGTTCAAAACAAACAAGGAGTGGATCACAATGAATGTTATCCAACGTTATGCACACACAAATGATAGCAACGATGACAATAAAGATCAGTTCTACTCGAGGCTTCAATCAAAGTGAAGTGCCCAAGAAAGGATCTCACCATCCTGATGGGAGATCTAAACGCTTAAGTTTGAATGGACGACACCGGATATGAAGATATGGGACAACATGGACTGGGAGAGAGAAACAAAAATGGGGAGAGCTTTGAAAGCTATGTGCATTCAATAAATTGGTTATAGGCCTCACAATATCCCCACACAAACGCATAGACAAAGCTACATGGGTCTCACTGGATCACACCACGGAGAACCAGAGAGATTATATTTGCATCAGTAAAAAATCCGGAAAGACAATCGAAGACTTGAGAACCAGGAGAGGAGCTGACATAGTTTCAGATCACCACCAGCTGATTGTTGCCAAGATGAAACTGTAGCTAAAGAAACACTGAACAACTGAGGAAACAGCAGTACAAAGGTTCAATACAGGCCCCCAAATGCCCTGGTACGGCCGAGAGTGGGGAGAGTCCGCTCTCCCTCTGGAAATGCTCTCACATGGCCAGCGAATATATAGCTTCTGCCAGGGAAGTCCTACTCACTGCCTTCTCACGGTATTACTGTTGTTTACGAAATTGAGAGGACGGAAAGCGAATGTCCGGCACTTTAACCGTGTTGGTGGACACGGAAAGTTCACCTAGGGGAGTTGGAAAACCCTGATTCCAAACCAGTGGTGCACATGGACTCCAGTATCCTGAGGGAACAAATGGCGTACGAATCAACCGTTGATCACCGGCTACCATGGGACTGCATCTCCCCACGATGCTCCACTGCCTTGTGGATCAGATCTTTCGGTCAAAGGCTCCGGGTGTGGGTCCCTAAGGAAACCATCTGCTTCGGTTCGGGCATCTGGGCAGTATCACAGCCCTCTAGTAAATCGAATGAGATTTGTATGGCGCATATGTATCTGGTGCTTTCTTGTACCAATATTTATGTGCTTAAATAAAATAATAAAATCAATACAGAATTCCTTCCAAATACTAACAAACTCAACGAATTCAAGATAACTCTCAACAACAGGTTCCAAGCTTTACACGATCTACTGAAAGAAGAGACTACTATGGAGAACAACTGGAAAGGAATCAAAGAAGCTTTATCGAAAGCCTGGACAAGATTCAAAAACTTAAGAACAAGAAGACAGCAATTAACAACAGACAAATAAGGAAAGGCAAGATACAAGCTGAGTACACAAAAACACACATGCAAGTGAAGAGGAGCATTAGAGCCGACAAGCGGAAATACACGGAAGACCTAGCTGCGACAGAAGAAAGATGTGGGGAAATATAGTAAACCAGAGAGATCGGTTGAAGACAAAAAAAGGCGAACCAAGTACAACATGGAGAACGCCAACCCAATCACAAACTCTGAAAAATGTGGAAACTTTCACTTACCTGGTCAGCATAATCGATTAACAAGAAAGATCTGATGCAGATGTAAAGGCAAGGATTGGCAATGCAAGAGCAGCATTCCTACAGCTGAACAACATATGGAACTCAAAACAACTGTATGCAAGCCAACATCTAAGTAAGAATCTTCAATACGAACGTCAAGACAATTCTACTGTATGAAGCGGAAAATCGGAAAGCTGTCACAACCATCGTTGAAAAACTACAAGTATTTATAAACAATTGCATACATAAGATACTTAGTGTCCGTTGACCGGATAACATCAACAACAGCCTATTGTGAGAGAGAACAAACCAGGTTCCAGCTGAAGAGGAAATTAGGATAGGACGTTGGAAGTAGATAGGACACACATTGAGGAAATTATCAAACTATATCACAAGGCGAGCGGTAACTTGGATTCCTGAAGGCAAACGAAAAATAAGGTCAAAGAACACACTGCGTCCAGAATGGGAAGCAGACATGAAAAAGATGGATAACTGGAAAAGATTGCCCATGACAGATTTGGACGGAGAATGCTGGTGAGTGGCCTATGCCTTTCCATAAGGGGTAACAGAGGTAAGTTGTTTCAAAGGATACATTCATATTTGATGGACGTTATAAAAAAGTCAAGCAGAATTAAAATCTTACTTGTATTAAATTAGCAGGTAAATGTGAACATTTTATCCCATCATAAAATGATAATGCAGAGCTGAATACAGGTGTAGGAATCGCGTTTAAAGCTCCATGAGAAACCACTCTACGCCATCCATCCTAAAAAGCAAATCATAATAACACTATGAATAATAATTACTAGAAGTGTGAATCAAGCAGATCAGAAAAACAGGAGATATCACTGATCTGTTTTGCGTACTGACAAACTTCAGCAAGTTCAAGCATAAAGCTTATTTATTTTACCGAGATTATCATGGCCCGACAATAAACCTGTCTGACTCTATGCGTCCAGAAAAAAAAGGATGAATAGAAGAATTGCATAAACTCATGGAAATTATAAGTTGTATTTCTTAGTTGATAAAATAACTGGATACCGTCTTACGTCATCTCATAAATCGTAATAAATGTGCATTACCTGCAAACGATTAGTACATTTTAATCTGATTGTCTTGAAGTTCTACTCTAGGTTATGACGAAATGACCACCTTACTAGCCATTATCATTCACTCGTCATATAAAATGCAAGCAATATATCGTGACCTATGAGAAATGATTATCAGTCGCATAACAATGTGTTAATTCACCGCACATCTAAATATATGTATTCGGCTGCTGTTCATGTCTGATAACGTTTAGGCTATTCGGCTGCTAGTCAGTCTTTTAACCAGTAATCTGTTAAATAGAGGAACAAAAGCAAAGTTATTATCACAATGTTAGTGCTATCTTAATACACTATTTAGTTTAAAATGCTCATTGAATTTTGGCTTGTAAACAGAATTACTGATACTCTCTTTCTCTCTCAAAAAAAGCAATTATTTACAACCTTGTCTATTCTTCCTGTTACGTTTAAAAGGTTAAAGGTAAATCTGACACGAATAGACTGTATCATGATTCATTGCAAAAAGTAATTCAATCACGTATTTGTATCTTAATTAAGATTGCTTTAAGATAGAGTAGTTTAATAGTTCACCTAATGGATTAAGAACTACACAAAAAACATTATATTACACCTAGTATTCTGTAATTAAAATATAGTTTATCACAATCGTTAACCAACCAATAAATAGATAATTATTTATTCGCACAACTTACCTCACATTCATCAATAACTTTTTTAAAGAATGGATCTAGAAGCAAATTACTCAGATTTGGATTTTTGTCATAAGCTTCTTTTATATTTCCAAGAAATTTGCTACAAAGAAGTGAGAATGAAAATAATGATAATATACATAGACAACAAAAATATATAAAGCAGAAAGTTGTGGTAAATATTACTTTATGGTTCATACTTCTCCATAACCCTATCAAAGTAGTTGAAGTAAATCTCTGTAGATACGGTGCAACGCAATAAACAAGCATAAATTAATGTTCTTGATTACCAATGGTCGAGGTTAAACTTGACTGATCCTGTCAAACTGGATGAAGGTAGACAGACGACGATTTGATATTGTGAAGTAGTCAGTAAACAGATGAGAAGTTTGAATATATCTGAATAAAACACGCTACATGTTTGTCAAAATAATGGTTAATGACCTGAAGGACATGCAGCATAATTTTATACACGAAGTACGTAAGAGGGTACATATCAACGCTACTATACACAATACAGTATACTTGTCGTTTTCAAATATGAATTTTTATACACAAAGTTTGAAATAAATCCCAACTCTTAGTGACTATTCTCAAGATGCAACATCTTTTCTTAATAAAGTCCAAAAATCAAAGAGCGCTCTTATGAAGGTACTTCGTAAAGACAAGACTAAAGGGGAAGCAAACATTTTAACGCAGCAGACAGCAACAATATTTACAAGAAAAATACTAAATCCTAATAAACATGAGATCTTTGTCAGAAGTAAGGGGTTGGGTTTTTTATTCTAGTTTTCACAAAAACGACTGTTTAGAAAGTATTCCTGACTATTGATTGGTCTTCAGCGAGTCTTAACTTGTAGTTGCTGATGGTAGTGTAATTACCAAGTATCTCGGAGTCATTACTAAGCTAAATGACCCGGAATTTCGGTACAGCTTAATTGATATTGAGAGGGTAAAATAAAAAACTAGAATCGGTGAGTTAGTTTTATGATATGCGGACCTTAATCAACAAAGTTTATCTGTGACTATGAAAGAATTAATACACATTCAGAGGTTCAAAACAAGTACCCATGCTATAACCGACTTTCTGTAATGACCGAATTGTGTACCCATCAGTTAAACGGTCAAAGGTAACTGGTTCTGTAGTTCAGTACTTAACTCATAAGCCGTGTTCAGATTAAGATTTGTGATGTCGTATGAATTTCTCGGTAGCTGTAGATTAGGAGGAATTTTCTTTAAGCAACTTAACCACCAAATCTTGTAGATTTCATTATCAAGGTTCGACTTGATAGTTTCAAGTTTTATTCTCTACAGAAGTGGCTTACGCTGAGTAACGCAACGTCACAAATATATTGTTTTAGCTAACTAACCCCTGAGTCTTCTTTTTCCATTATATATATATATATATATATATATATATATATATATATATATATATATATATAATAATAATAATTATTATTATTATTAAGCTGATAATAACCAACCTGCGTATGATGCACCCACCACGCCACATAAGCGCTATCGCACCAAGATCCAGTTTCCAACCGAAGGCTTGATATGCCTGTTGCAATAGCATGAATCCTTGGGCATAAGAAACTATTTTTGATGCATACAATGCCTATAATTAAACGATAACAAGTTAGATGCCTGTGAGAAAGAGCGAGCAGTGTCTTCGATGTATAGGAATTTAAATTTGACGAATATTTTCATATTCTAATTATACGATAACTTGAAGTTTCGAATTTACAGTTCTCATACATCTTGACGACATACTATGATCATCCTACTTCACTATAACTGCAGAAACAATTTTGTAATAACCATATTTATTGATGATTAACCAGACAGTGAAAGAGGCGCCTAATTAAATACGAACAGACGAGAAGCGTCATTTATCTTGAGTTTAAAAAAGCCCCTTGTAAATAAACACAGAATTAAAGTTTAAGGAATTTCACTTCAATAGTTGTAGCCATATAGTATTCAACCAATTAAAACAAAGTAGCAACTTACATTAAGAAGATATCAGTTTGTAAACGCATTTTATCTAGTTCAATAAGCGGAACTTGAACATAACTTTAGCTCCCAAATTTCTAAGTTTAGTACATACATATATGTTTACTTGATAATTGAGCTGTGCACTATTTCTATGTATTTTAATAACGATTTAATACTAATCAATGGAGGTTGGATACATTCATATTGTAAATGGCTCCTCCAAAATTATTGATTGTCTGTTCATTTGCAAAGATTGGATTGTTTTTTTCATGTCATGTGGTTATTAAATAAATAACAGAATAAAAAGCAAATGCACGAAGAAAGAGCTTATCGATAAAACAACAGCTTATCAGGCTTATATTGTTATAAGTGGACAAAAAAATTGATGTTGGCTCGATACAAAAAAAAGAGAAGGTAAGGGCTACAAAGAAATTTATGGTATGCACCAATATAGTTTAAAAACTGTCTGATTTCGCTAATTGTTGTTTTATTTGCACTGAGTAACAATTATATTTGAATAAATTGAACTGGGTAGCACTACATACTTATCGGTCAACAGATTAGTATATGATCACAATTTAAGAATAAACGGATGTAACTAATTTATTGGGTTATGTACGACCATTTCCTTCTAACACTCATGAACTACTATTCAGGCAATCAGAATCCTTTCGCAATGTAAATGAAATATCAAAACTCTATCTTCCAAAATTAGATAGGTATGGTATAGATAGATCTTACATGGAAATACTTTTATCATTTTATGTCATCAAGGCACTATACACAAAAAGTTGAAGTTACAGGAAGTTTGCCCTACTTTTTTATTTTGCTTTGTTATCATGCGCTGACGTCTCAGGTTAAGCTGATGAGTAGATTCACAAAATCGATTGAGATAATTATAAGCTGTTGATCAGATTTCGACAGTGATATATGTATCTACATAGCATTTGGTCATTCTACGTAATAATTGGCGCGTTTAGGATAGTTGGTTTTTCATAGCAAGATATACATGAAAGCAGAGATTTCAGTCATGTCGAAATTTTGTGGGCTACTAAAAGGATGTCATTCATATGGAACATAGATTTGGAAGACGCTTTTTTCGGGAGCGTAGATGTATGTCAACACGAAGATAATTATTAGATATGATAACTGACATGAAATTCAGACAATCAAACGAAATGAATAGGCAAACATAATTATTATTGTTCTTTGTGAATGTTATAAAAGTTAAGGCTTTTTATCGATTTGCAGGCAATCTTGAAAATATATGGGAACATGGCGAGTGACTAACATCATAATAAAAAACACTGTTTTTCATTATCTTACAGTTGAAATGCTTATCATTGTTTTTAATTAATGAATCCATTAATCTGTTAACTCCCTACCTTAAATTTTCACATAAGCATCAATCGCATTTAGTTATTTGTCTTTTGCGGACCCAAACAACGATGTCATTTTGGATAAACAAGATACATTTAAAGATTAGCCATTTAGTTAACTGCTCTTCATGAATCCCCAATAACCAACTCATCTTACCAAGTAAAAGTTTATGCATTCGACTTTGAGTTATATTATGTGAAGGTTGATGATACTATCTGAGTATCCAAACCGAGGTGTTTACACCGGAGATCGAACCTGCGACCTATATGGTGGAAGCTAAATTTACTTACCGTATAGTTAATCATCAAGTCTTGGTTATATGCCATTACTAGTCATCTAACTTAACCAGTACTTACATCTGTATGATTTTACTAAATTTATTATATGCCTCAAAGTCGACAATTAGCTTTACATTATGCCAACTCAAAACAGTAGTAATTTTGGAGGTATACATTCAAGAAGAACAAAAAACCATATTATTGCATGATAGAAAACATTCTTCTCAAAGTAAAGCGATACATAATATGAATGAACTTACTTTCCAAATGTCATCAGTAAGCTTCTTTGCAATTTCTGGACTAGAACAACAAAATGGTTTGTCAGGTGTTGTGTTTAACACACTACATGCTTCTGAACGAAGTGTTCTCATTGATGATAACTGACGGGAAAATACTGCCTCAGCTTTAGAAAAAAAGGATAAATAAGTTTGAATAGTTATAGAGACTGGTGATTCATCAAAAATGATACAATTAGATTGCTTTATTTAAAAGTGCTAAACAACCATTTTTGTCATCAGTCCTAGGGAACACAGATAAATTTTACTTTGAACACAATTCGCTATCTTAAATAAGATGGTAGTAGCGCTATGAAATAGATAACACAGCAATTTGCAATATCTATATATTTGATGGACATATGGTCTATATGAACTGATAATTTTCTAAGTACTACGGATAGGTAGACAATTATCCACAATGGTCCGCTAAATTTTATCCTAGTCAGACCATTAGCTGTTTGTTGAGTATGAGGGAAGACATCGACATTGAAATAAAGAGTTATCTTAGTACGCTGAAATTTTATGGTTCTAAAAGAGCGGTTTTGGCAAAGCAAGGGTAGCATTTCTACAATTGAAGAACATAGGGAACTCAAAACAAATCTCAACTAATTTCAAAGTCAGAATCTTCAATACGAACGTCAAGACAGTCCTACTGTACGGAGCTGAAACGTGGAGAACTACTACGACCATCATCAGGAAGGTACAAGTATTTATAAACAGTTGTCTACGCAAAATAATCAACATCCATTGGCCGGATACTATCAGCAACAGCGTTTTATGGGAGAGGACAAACCAGCTTCCAGCTGAAGGGGAAATTAGGAAAAGACGTTGGAAGTGGATAGGACATGCATTAAAGAAATCACCAATGTGCATTACATGGCAATCCCTAACTTGGAATCCGGAAGGGAGGCGGAAAAGAGGAAGGCAAAAGAACACATTACGCTGGGAAATAGAAGCAGATATGAAAAGGATGAATAACAACTGGAAAGGAAGGCTCAGGACAGAGTTGGATGGAGAATGCTGGTGAGCGGTCTATGCTCCTTAACGAGGGGTATCAGGCGTAAGTAAGTAAGTAAGTAAAAGAGCGGTTGCATACTCAAATTTACTAGCCCAATATGGACTGAACGAACTAAAATTCTCCTGTTTAGTCAAATTTATGGTCGAATCGACTTTTTCTGACTGCATTAAAACAGTTGCTTGCTATAATAGTACTATGGTTTTCACAAAATATAATTTGATGCCGGAGAGTTTTGATTCTTATTCAATCTCCGAAAGGGACAGCGTAAGTTGTGAATACCAGTAGTATCATACTAACCAAATATAAAGTATGTTATGAACCATTACAATAAAAGGTTATCATATAAACAGACGGTATTATTTGAGTACGAGTCAATTTAGACTAAAACGTGACACGCGCAGATACAAATACGTTTGAATGTATTGATTTAGAGCATCTAAAAGCTCTGTGATTAGCAATAAAAGAATAGTTTTTTAGTGTTTGACAAAACACGTGAGCCAAACTAATTTTAGCTTTATTTACATGTCTATAAGTGGATTTTAATCTGTTTATAAGAAATATAATGAAAACTTATTGAAAGAACTAATATTACTGAGTATCGTCCAATTTTTCAAGTGAGGCACTTTACAACAATGAATTTCAGTCATACTGGATAATAAACAGATTAAATGACTACTGCTGATAATTAAGTAAAAGCTTGTAGTCTTCAAGTCAACTGATGCTGTATTTTTTTGTCATAGTTATTGGTGGTTAAGTAATGAAAGTGAATAGGTAATCGGTAATATATGTGTTGGACCTAGGATGAATTTTCATTAGCTCAAGTAGCCACAGTTTTTATCAGCGCAGAAAGAAGACAGAAAACAAAGGGGGAATCAAATTATTAGTAATATTAATGGTAGTAGGTGTGAACACATGAATGAATTTTAAGGAAGAAATAGAAAAACTCAAGATATAGAAAAAGAATGAATGTATTTGTGGTGCTTTGACTGATTAATTACCACGATTATCTAGCGAACGCCACTCAGGGAAACATGTATATGTTGTTAACAAGTTTCAGTCCAAGAGTTCATAATTTCGTTGAATGTTTTATTTTGATTTGGTTTCAACTTTAACTTTTCTCTAATCTACTTCTGTATCAAGTCACTACTGCATATTGAAAGTAAGGTATAAATAAAAGCATCTATAGTTTGAAAGATATGCAGTTTCGTTTAATCATAACTTTACTGTAAATTAATGACAGTGAAAAGGGGATTGTATTTTACTAGAAACTGGATAAAACTAAAAACTATGAATATGAGCACATATTAAGATAGTTGAAAGGGAAAAATAATAATAAATCAAAGGTAATTTTATTCGATCAGATTATGTATTTCTAAAGGAAAGAAAATTTTTAACTTGAAACAAGAAAATTATAGTGGAATATATTAAGTATGGTAGATACTAAGATTATAATTAGGCGATATAAAATAAATTCTACACCCAATTGGACCTAAATACTAATTAGTCCTGAGTTGTAAGAAATATAACACAGTACTACGGATAGGTAAGAGTTTTACAGTTAAAAGGGATCACCTACTAATTAAGTCTATTTAAAAATTATCTCAACTTTTAATGAACTTGTATAATTCTCAAAAAAATTTAATTACTATTTTCGCTGGACAGAGAACGCCCAAGTCAAGTATTATCACATGAGAAATTCCCACCATATTCAAACATAGATATATGAACAAAGAGTAGCATGGGGATTATTGGAGATTGTAGTATTTTAACAGTTGATATCACGAGTCAATCTAAGCTAGACCATCGATGAAAATCTGAAAGCATTGGACGACCATTTCGTTCTAGTATGGGGTTCAGCAGTGCGCATCCGTGATCCCTCAAGCGGGACTCGAACCCAGGACCTTCGATCTCTCACGCGAACGCTCAACCTATAGACCACTAAGCCGGCATCCATCGATGTTAGTGTCTAACTTCAGTCGACCCAAGACCTTGCGCAACCCTTCATCGATTTCCTGAGGTGGATAACTGTCTCTGAGGAGTCCCATACTACGACTAAACGGCTATCCAGTGCCTCCAACTTTTCAATGGTAGTCTAGCTTAGATTGACTCGTGAATTCGACTGCTAAAGAAGTCTTTTCAATAAATTCTCTTCAGGTTTTACAATTATATATCCTAATTAAAAGTCCAGAAGGTTGTCAGGTTTGAGGGAAAATACATCGTTTAAAAACTATAGCATCTGAATTTAGGACTATAAAATAAAATGATGTTGGGATGACTGATATGAAGTGTTGACTTGAATAAGTTCATACGTTCATATGTTGGCAGTAAAATGAAAACTTGTCAATATGCTGTGCCAATGGATAATTTTTCAGCCTGGTGAGAAAAATGTCATTCTATATGGAACCTAATAGTGAACCTTTCGCGACACCATCCATTTGTCTACATATTTCACCATTGAATTTTACGCTTATCTTCATGGTACACTTTAGTAATAATTTTTTAACGATGTCCACAGGGATTGTAGTCGTTATTTCTTGTTCCACAAGTTTTTCACAGATATATTCGACAGTCTCCCTGAATGTTACGTCTAATGACATTATCATTTGTTCTTTGGTGTTTGTTTTTAATCTCGTCGATAAACTGGAATACATCCTTAACGCTGTGCTTCGCAATGCGTTTGTGGAATGGTTTTAAAATAGTTACCATAGCATATCTATCGCACACAGACCTATTTATGTTGATATAAGTAATTGAGTAGTAAAAACTCTATGATTGGTCTGAAATCCTTAAAACTACAAAGTATGTATAATGCAGTGGAATAAATTGCCTTGAAAAAAGCAAACATTTATTGGTCGTTAAATAATTATTAGGCCAGTAGACACTTATCAAGTTTGCAAATACGATCTAGTTCACATAATAGTTTCTAAATTAAACATATCTGCTTCTGGTGTAACTGTCATGCCCCGATAAGGATAATGAATGGTAACTTTGGTATCTATTTATGAACCAATACTATGCATATATTTTTTATTGTATAATTGCTAAATAACTAAACTATTCACATTCATGTCCCCTTATTATAAGCTTTATTTTGAACTATAAACTATTGTTATATGATTTACCATTCCTGAATTATGCCCTGTCTATTATTTACTATCTCCCCTATTCACAGCCACATTTGGCTGAATCTTGTACAAATGTTGTTTCTTATTTTATGGTACGATGTGGTCAGTTTGGTATATAAACTCAGTATGTTTGAAATATGATTCATACCGCAGAGTCTGTTCTGGACTTAACTGGCTGGGCTGGGCAGAAAGCAGGAACGAAAAGTACTCTAGACTACTCGTACGGTTTCGTGTATCACTGGTCCGATCGATAATTCGCTGCTCTCTGATTAGCGGTCTTATCACGTCATACGTTAACAGGGCATCTACTCGGTCACAAGTTATAACAGTAACAATAATAGCACAGAGACGAATTCAGAATCGCACATGAATGGTTTATAATTGAGTATTTAGACGATCAAATAAAACTAATTCATACTACGAACTAATATATACACAGTTGCTACATCCGTATCTAAGATATCTTCATTTATTTCACGTCAATAGCAATTATTGTGGATGTGCTCTTCAACAATTCTGATGGATATTTTACATGATGCAAACAAATGAAAAATTACTACTAGTCATATTGGTGCGCTAGTGATCTGAACTTGCACAACACAGTCAATTGTTTTATTAAATGAAAATTTGAAATTTCGGTAATATAAATATGCCCTTTACGAGAAAGAGGTATCACTGTCTATCTGGTATTTGCATTGTCTTTTAATATCAGCGTGCTCTGATGGCCTACATCAACATTCCAATCAAATAGACTAGCATCAATCGATTATTGTGCATGATCAGGACTATATTCGTGAATTCAATGAACAAAACGTGTTCATAATAATTATAAAACACATCTCGTAAAAACACCTACGACTAAAATCCCTATTATAATATATGTTCTCAGAGAAAATCTAATATTTTAAAGCTATGGAAAAATATATGTGACATATGCATGATTGAACACAACCCAAATCAGTGCAATAAATGTATTACTGTAAGGAAACACAGTCTTCTCGTGAAAAATAAACTCAACTAAATAAATAATATGGATTGAAGTAGAAGTCAGTATACAAACTATATAACTTACCGATCAGTGTCACAGGAATACCATGATCAAGTCCACATATTGCAGTCCATTTACCAGTACCCTTCTGAAGATGAAAAATAAAGGAAACGAAATTTTTACAACTTACAAAGCTTGCAGTTTACCTGAGCCAATATACGCTTATACCAGGTTGTATATTTCTCGTTATTTAGAATATACTCGGTACTCTAAGATAAAATATGGTAGAAGTTCAAAAATCTTCACTTGCGAGTATGATGTCATTGTGACTAAAGAAATATACACCATTGTGATTTTAGTATTTATATCGGTAGTAATATGTAGTGTGTGTGAAATATCTTTTATGGATAAAATTCACTAATGTTGTAAAGGTTGTTTAGTATGCACACAGTCCCAAAGTCAATCTGTAATAATAAATTACATCTATGAAAGTAAACAATCTTGTTTTTATTTTGAAATAATTGGTTATATCATATTAGCATTAAAGGTCATTCACTACTCAACAGGATTAGGATTTCATCAACCTGTTTAATTCACTCCCGTCAAACCATGAAACGAGGGATATTTGGTCGTAGGATATATTACGTTATTTTTCCTTGCTTGTTGTAAAGTGAGTGGGGTTTTAGAACAATTTTAATAATATCCATAAGAAAATTGTTAAACTGTAAGAAATTTATTATTTTGTTATTTTTTTAATCTTTATCTGACGTGATAACATTGATGGTTCTTTGGGATAAATTTGGAACCAGAGATATTTTTGAACTAAATGTATGTGAGAGACCAAAGTTCATACACTGATTTGGATATGTCGGTTAACAGTAGATGGAAAAATTTAGAGTCCTATTTAAATTTATTTCGACTAAACAGTCAAATGACAGCTCATTGTGTTCGTTTCCTTTCCCGTACGTAAACTTGATATAAACTAAGAATACACTTATCAATTTAGAGAACATAGTTATAAATGTCTTTTCAATGATGATAAACATATCATCTACATATGTGAGTAAAATTCATGGTCTGATGGCACTGAGAAAAAATATGCCATTTGGTACATTCATATTTAGTGCAAACATTTATCTAATTTCATATATATTCCAAAGAACCATCAAATTATCACATCAGATGAAAATAAACAGAAGAAGCAACGGAAAAATTTAATGAGTTTCCCATGAATATTATTAAAATTGTATTAAAATCTTAGTGGGTTTATCAGTCAGTCAACTACAACGTAGGACCAGGCACATATATGCATTTGTCCAAGTTTCCATACGCCATTAGCACAACAAAATGAACAACAAATTCATAGAAGTAGTTCACTTAATGGTGGTAATATATAAAAGAAAGATTGCATATGCGGACATACTACAGGAAGAAACATATGAAGCAATTTTAATCACACAGTTGCGACCAGTCAGATAGGATTACGTCCAACTCTCAGATTCTAGCTAAAATATTAGTCAACCTAATAGCTAAAATTGGACCACCATAGTTAGAGACATCTGAAGCCAATCCATTTGGACCAGCTGCTCTTCCTCATTTCAGATTAGCTATAGCCTTTTGAACTTCAACTAGAGTCGGGAGACCTACTTCAATGTCCTATTCAGACTGTTTGGGAATGGTTCGTAACTGTATAGTAGCTGAAGGCCAGCTAAACTGTTCTCTTAAGTGTTCCGCCCACAGTTCTAAACGTCTGAGCTGGGAGCAGATAAGTGTCATCTTTTTCTGAGATCGTCTCACTTACATATGACTAGCTAATTCCAGTTTCTTCCATGAGTCCGAAAAGCTGTCTTGTGATACATACAGCCGCTGCCTTTTCCTTTTCTATTGCTTTCGTTGCCCACCACTGCTCACGATCGTTCCTTAGACTTTTGATTAACCTAGATCTGATTTGCTTTCATTCTTCGTCGTGTTCACAGCCTGATGGGATGAGTTTGCGAGAATCCATCAGTGAAATAGATTTAGAAGAAATCCATTGGATTTTGTAACTCTTTGGTTTAAATTACTAATAGATGTTATTTCTGTTTCCACAGCTGTCCGTATATTTTTTCAAGTAACATCTACGTCAGCCTCGTTTACAGAACTGCCTAAGTGTGAATTCAGTTATTCCTGGAATCTACTTTTGGTTTTCCTGCCCCTCAGTTCCATTCTAATGAGTCTTCTTAGTGTGATTTTTCTGCGTCCAGTGAGACGCAAACAAATGCGTGCTCGTATTAGAGCATGATCGGGGTCTAAACAGGTATTCCAGTACGAGTGACAGTCTCCTATCGAGCCTCTCCAACGATGACCGATGGCAATATGGTTTATTTGAGTCCATCGTTGGTTTGGTGCAGGGGGTCGCCATGTTAGACGATGTCTGTCCTTATGCTTAAAATTAGTGCTTGCTAAAAATAAACGATTGTCTGAGCATAGTTGCAACAGAGGATCACCATTATCCGTTCGCTGAACCGGAATACTAAAATACCCACCTAAACGTCTTTCTATTTAATTTAAGTTACTTACTTGGGGATTAAAGTCACTGCAACGAGTACTACGTCTGAGCTTTTAGCTTTATGAAGTTCAGAGAGCTTTCTGTAAAAGTCATCTTTCACTTCATCCAGGCTGCAGTCAGCGGGAGCGTAGGCAGAAACGACGAAAAATCAACGACGTGTGTCCCTATCCTTCCGAGTTCTTACGGAGCTGTATAGACGAACAGCACATGAGTAATTGTTAACGGGGATAAACTTTAATAGGACTTGTTCTACTTTTGTACTAAGTATTACGCCTACACCTGGCAGACAACGAGAACTAGCTATCGGGTCAACAGATACAGGGAGGTTGTATCTCATCGGCTCTCCATTTTGGCGAGGTGAGGTCAAGTGACCACACTAGGATCCTGTATGCGTGTTTTAGGAAACACAGTATATATCAATGGTACGAGATTCTAGGGTTTTAGCGAAGGAGGCCTGTTGGCTGTTTTGGCATAGGGTGCGTACGTTGAAAGCTACAATGTATATTATGGAGTGAGGTATCAGTAGACCTGGGACAGTGTTTCACGCTATGGTGACACTTGAGGAGGAAGCCCAAAGAAGTTTAGAGTTGAAAGTTCATGTAGGAGGAATAATAGGAATTGAAGAAGGAGATTGATTAAGAATACATTGATCTTGAGTGCTGTTATAGGTATGAGGGCGCTTATCACTTTCCGGTTGCCCATACCGTGGAAGGGTTTTTCTATAAGTACTTGAAAAGAAATTGGGTTGGGAGTGGTCTTAGTGACCTGAGAGCGTGACCGCAGTGCCCAAGGGACAACTGCTTGAAGTCGGTCACACACGACCATTTTGTGAGTAATTTTTGTGTTGGCCCCGTACTTGTTGGGACTTTGCCGCCAGAGACGGATATCCGTGGGATAAGGAGAGGTGTGTATTTTTGGGGTCGAACTTTTCTAACCACACCCCTTCTTGTGAGAAGGCAGCATCGCTGTTATGCTGGTTGTCTGAAGGAAACACCTTAATGTTGTCACACCTCTGTACAGTCAGCAGTACGACTTTGCCCTAGGACCTTGGGTTTGCTACTTTTAGTCTCACTGCTCTTCAACCAACCTGTCTGGTATGGTAGGACCTTGAGGAACGATAGTTCCAGCCAGTATAGCTCAACTGGTTCATTACGATAAACAAGCCCGACCACCACGTCAAGGTAGCAGCAACGGTCGTGAGTGGGTTTATATCAGGTTACAGAGATGGAAGATTTCAATGATAACCTCATGTAAAAAGGTGAAGGTTTCTTTGTCTCAAATTGACATTCATTTCTCAGTTGATGAGTTGGATGTACAACCTCTAATAGTATACGATATTATTAACGTCGAATACCAGAGAATACAATTCAACATGTAAGTGCAGATGTATTCTCTTTTTACATTCATTTAGATGTTAATTTACAGTATTCTTCCATATGTACCTTATCATTCCGTCTTTTTGAACTAAACGTTGGATGTTTAGACTTTCTCCTTATCATCATCTTACTTTAGTATTCCGACTTTGGATAACATACAATTGCGGCAGGGTGTACGTTGACTATGACTAACTGACTGTAAATTCATTTATAACGGTGGGACACACCTTTTGTTAGAAAGTGACACTAATCGGTTTTTAGATCGAAATGGATGAATTATGGTTCAGTTTGATGATGGAAAAAGAAGTGTTATAACAATAAAATTATCACCCAAAAGTACCAACCACCCTAAGTACAACAAAACAGAAAAGTTTCTTGTAACAAAAGAAAAGAATGTCATCAGTCACATACTTGTCCAGCAGCATCCAGTATCTGATCAATAAGGTATGAACCGTCAGGATTCTGGTAATTAAATATATGACTAGTTATTTCAATGAGGTAGGATTCCAAAGGACCATTGTTCCATTCTTTGAAAACCTTCGGGAGAAATTTGAAAATACAAAAAATGTAATCGAGTTTTTGGATGCTAATAAATATTCATATGCTGTTTTTCGTCTCGCTTGTATCTAGTCTAATGCCATTCATGTGTGATTTATCAAGTAGAAGACTTGATTTGTGGTTAGTACAGGGGCAATCTGATAAAGGTTATACACTGTACTTAATAACAGTATCAGCAGAGATAGGGATCAGTTTACTACATCTATTAACAACCAACTAACTTGGAGTCATAACAAAAACATGTAAAAGCACTGTTACAATTCACTAAGTAATAATCAAACGCGCGCTTCCGATTACTACTACCATTTTCATTAATCAAACCTGCTACAGTATATAAATAAATAATATATTTGTAATATCCCAATGAGTAGAAAAATTAGATTTTCTGACGTTTCGTGACTCAGTGTAAGCCACTTCTTCAGAGAATAAATAACCAAATTAATATTAATCCAAGTTTAAATAGTACAACGGAACAATCAAAGAATATTAGGTGATCAATCAAAAACAGGTCTGAATAAATCACTGTCATGTCATTTCATTTCGGTCAAGGTGATTCATAAGCGACATGGATGTAATTTTGTGTGTATGTATGCACTGTTAATAATGAAAACTGTGTGACCTTTATAATTACAAAGGATAGAGTTTGATTTGTAATGTAATGGTGTGAAATTGTAAATAATATCAGACTGAGTGACTAGGATAGATGGTCCAAGTAGGCTGTATGGTAAGGCCTTCCTTTCTATTGAGAGCTGTGGGATTAAGCATTATATGGAAAGCTTCAGCTACTCTTCTTTCTTGGTAGTTAGAAAAACCTTTCTGTAGTATTTTGATATTTTTGAAATCAATTTGATGACTGTTGAAAATGGCGTGAACTGCTATTGCCGATTTAATCTGAAGTCTATCTAATTCTACAGGATTATTAGGCGGTTTCTTTGTGTACCTGATATGTTCTTTAGCGCGAGTTAAGATTTCGCGAGATGACTCTCCAATATAGAAGGCATCACAATCGACACAACCTAATTTGTAGACGCAGTTCTGTGTAGACATGAATGGTATTTTTTCTTTTAATCGAACTAAAGTATTTCGAAGCGTGTTAGTTGTTTTGTAATATACTTTAATTGTGTTGTCTTAATATCCGTTGGAGTTCTTCAGTTGTGCCATGACGGTATGGTAAGACTGCAGTACTAGTCCATGGCATTTCATTCGAATTATTATTATTATTGTGTACTGAATTGTCTTGTTTTAATATACTTCTAATAGTCTTCATAGGAAAATTATTAAATTGTAAGATGCTAATTATATTCTTTTGTTCTTTTTGTTTGTCCTCTTCTGAAGAGATGATCTTGTTGGCTCTTCTAACAAGATTTAAGGCTAACGAAATTTTAGCACTGAAAGGATGTGCTGAATGGAAGTCGATGTAACGATTAGAGTGTGTGGGCTTTCGGTAGATGGATAAATTTAGAACTCCATTTATATTTCTTTTCACTAAGCAATCTAAGAACGGTAGCTCTCCATGTTCATTTTCATTCTCATTCGTGAATTTGATGTGAGATGAAAGTGTATTTATCCGTTTTGAAAACGATCTTAGATGCGTCTTTTTTATTACTACAAATGTGTCATCTACATATCTGAGCCAAATTCGTGGTTTAATTTCGTTGGAGAAAATCTTTGATTCTATGTGTCATAAAAAGATTGGCCACAATCGGGGACACGGGAGAACCCATTGCTACACCATTTGTTTGTCTGTATAACGTTCCGTTAAAGGTGAATAGAGTTGAATTTAAGCAGAGTTTTAACGATCTCATGATTAAGCTGATGCTTAAAGGACATCTGTCCGATAGAGTAATGTCATTCTCTAGTAAGCCACTAATGAATTCTAAGCATATATCAATTGGAATACTAGTATATAAAGATACAACATCAAAGCTTACCATGACTTCATTCTTTTCAATAATTAAATCCGATAATTTTGATTTAAAGTCATATGTATCTTTAATCATATTATGTACGTTAAGCTGTAGTGGCTTTAATATGTTGCTTAGATATTTAGATAAAGCATATGTTGGTGTGTTGGTAAAATCTACTATCGGTCTTAGAGGAATATCTGGTTTGTGAATTTTCGGTAAACCATAGAACCGTGAAATTAAACCACGAATTTGGCTCAGATATGTAGATGACACATTTGTAGTAATAAAAAAGACGCATCTAAGATCGTTTTCAAAACGGATAAATACACTTTCATCTCACATCAAATTCACGAATGAGAATGAAAATGAACATGGAGAGCTACCGTTCTTAGATTGCTTAGTGAAAAGAAATATAAATGGAGTTCTAAATTTATCCATCTACCGAAAGCCCACACACTCTAATCGTTACATCGACTTCCATTCAGCACATCCTTTCAGTGCTAAAATTTCGTTAGCCTTAAATCTTGTTAGAAGAGCCAACAAGATCATCTCTTCAGAAGAGGACAAACAAAAAGAACAAAAGAATATAATTAGCATCTTACAATTTAATAATTTTCCTATGAAGACTATTAGAAGTATATTAAAACAAGACAATTCAGTACACAATAATAATAATAATTCGAATGAAATGCCATGGACTAGTACTGCAGTCTTACCATACCGTCATGGCACAACTGAAGAACTCCAACGGATATTAAGACAACACAATTAAAGTATATTACAAAACAACTAACACGCTTCGAAATACTTTAGTTCGATTAAAAGAAAAAATACCATTCATGTCTACACAGAACTGCGTCTACAAATTAGGTTGTGTCGATTGTGATGCCTTCTATATTGGAGAGTCATCTCGCGAAATCTTAACTCGCGCTAAAGAACATATCAGGTACACAAAGAAACCGCCTAATAATCCTGTAGAATTAGATAGACTTCAGATTAAATCGGCAATAGCAGTTCACGCCATTTTCAACAGTCATCAAATTGATTTCAAAAATATCAAAATACTACAGAAAGGTTTTTCTAACTACCAAGAAAGAAGAGTAGCTGAAGCTTTCCATATAATGCTTAATCCCACAGCTCTCAATAGAAAGGAAGGCCTTACCATACAGCCTACTTGGACCATCTATCCTAGTCACTCAGTCTGATATTATTTACAATTTCACACCATTACATTACAAATCAAACTCTATCCTTTGTAATTATAAAGGTCACACAGTTTTCATTATTAACAGTGCATACATACACACAAAATTACATCCATGTCGCTTATGAATCACCTTGACCGAAATGAAATGACATGACAGTGATTTATTCAGACCTGTTTTTGATTGATCACCTAATATTCTTTGATTGTTCCGTTGTACTATTTAAACTTGGATTAATATTAATTTGGTTATTTATTCTCTGAAGAAGTGGCTTACACTGAGTCACGAAACGTCAGAAAATCTAATTTTTCTACTCATTGGGATATTACAAATATATTATTTATTTATAACAATCTACCCAATGCTCAATTTATTCAAAATTATCAAATCAAGACTTGGTAATGATACCTACAAACTGCTACAGTATAAATCAAAAGGTAATGATAAATTGAGTGATGAAACTGTGAAAGTTTATCGACTAAGATGGTTGGAACATTTTCGCACGTGACCGAAGACCATCTACTCTAGTGAGCAAAGAAGTTGGAATAAAGATGAAAAAAGGCAAAATAAAGTTTCCAGATGAGTTAACTATTAAACTGAGATATGTTAGGAAGCGTTGACCTCTTGGATGGATCAACTCAATCTATGGTTGGGAACCTTGACAATGCCGGGATTCGGTCAGTGTTCCAGATGTATAAGTCTTTACTTTTCACCACTTTTAGTATCCTTATTTTAACTATTGCTATTCATCAGAAATTCTTATCACCAAGCTTATGTGAAACTTGGTAATTTGGAATGATGAGGATTCGTGTATATTATAGAAGAATTAATACTAATAGTAAGGTGAGGAAAAATAAGGACAAGAAGTGGGAAAGTTGGAGGTGTTTAATAATTAATAACCTAAATAAAAGACAATATACTTAAGTGTTTAGAATAATAAACAATAACAATAAACAATAAAATACTTACTTGTGCTATTCCATTATTTTGGAAATGGCCCAAATACCGTAACAAATGGTATGCTTCTGCTATCAACTCCATGTCAGCATATTCAATCCCATTATGGACCATTTTTACATAATGTCCAGAACCAGCAGGTCCTGTCTGAAAAATAAAATGATTGAAACTCACCATAAAGGTGGACTAACGTCTGCTCTCGGGGTATTGAGTGGAAATAGAAAATAATATACAGTAATCTATACCTAAAAAGTAAAGTAGAGATCCATTTCAGGAGTCTACGCTAATAGACTGGTGACTAAACTACTTGGTCACATAATTATATTTCTATTATTATCATTACTATTAGAAAAAACTAACAAAATGTTGCTTATATTTCTAAACGACGATCAATAGAACATGATAAAAACAAATGACAATGGAAAGAAAAACGAGTCATCATTTTTAATCTATGGTCTAGCTATAAAAGCACTATTACTATAAAGCGCAGAATACTCAATTTAGATTAACCTACCCAGTCACAGCAAGGTTCACCAGATCCGGCTTTAGCTGCAATTGCCTGGAAGATTGGTTTGATGTGAGGCCTAGAAAATACAATGTATAAGTAAAAATACCATGACGAAAGAGTATAAAAGAAACAGAAACGACGTAATTCCTGCAACACCGAAACGTAATAAAAAATTTTCTTATGGAAATAATTGAGTATATTTCTGTATTAGCCAATATTAAATCAGAAAGTTCTTATAACTAGTACTAATATTTTTAATGGTGTTCAATGAATTTAGTTCGTGCAACCTCCGACTACGTGTCTCATAGGGAGAGTGATATAAAACTACACTTCCCGAATGTTAGGTGCAACAAGTTCACGAAATGTAGCCTGTATAGAAGTGGATCACATTCCATCGATAGTTAATTCGCTTGACCATCCATTGATTGTCACGAAGCGCAATGACTTAACCTAGTATATGTCGAAAAAAAGCAAAATTTTAAACCTTTCAATGGGGATTTTTAAGCCGTTTAAATTTTTCTTCAAGAAACAATTAATGCTATGAAAGTATCCATGTTTGGATGACAACGAAGCTTAACCATAAAAGTCTCAACTAAGCTTTCAACATAAAAATGTATAATAATGTCTTTGGTATAACTAATATACGCTACTGCATCTATTAGGCTTCAGTTCATTGGAGTGAACTAAAAATTTATATTGTCCAAACTTTTACAGCATCTAATCATGTTTATTTTTGTCAACACTTTCTACATAAGCATTTCATTTTATCAGATAAAAATCTTACCATTCTAGCCAGTGACCCTATCTTTTATTTCAGTTCGTTCAGGTTCGAGTCAATAAGCCGATACTGTAAGCAACCACTTAATCACATTGTATCTTTGAATATAACCTATTTTTTAGCAATTTATTCATTCGTTTTGGCAGTCCAAAAAAGTCTCACTCAAACTTCATAACAGTCAATAAGCACACACTTATCTACATGAAATATTTCGTGGGGATCCTTATTAGATCATACCGGGGTTTATATGTAAATGTAAGTTTCCGTGAAATTATTACGCGATCTGACGGTGCAAACAAGTAGCTTACTTAGTGATGTCCATCACTAAACAACTAGGCCCAAATATTTGTAATATGTTATAATAAATCAATTATTTAGCAAGTAACGCAAAACTAGTTTCCCCTTGATAACAAAACTAGTTAGAAAAAGTCAAGGGAATCTGAATTATTTTGCCAACTAGGTACTTTTTCAAGTACTACTACCTAAATGCCTAGATTAGACCAGGTGGTAAGTGGTTGCAAGACAAGTAATTTAACCACTGAACAGAGAATGATATATGAGGGGAGATTACATCCTTATTTGACTGATATATATATATATATATATATATATATATATATATATTACCAAATGCCCTGGTACGGCTAAGAGTGGGGAGAGTCCGCTCTTCCTCTCGAAATGTTCTCACATGGCCACACGTATACAGCCTCTGTCAGAGAAGTCCTACTCGCTGCCTTCTCACGGTATTACTGTTGTTTACGAAATTGAGAGGACGAAAAGCGAATGTCCGGCGCTTTAACCGGGTTGGTGGACATGGAAAGTTCACCTAGGGGAGTTGGAAACCCTAATTCCAAACCTATGGTGCACATAGGCTTCAGTATCCTGAGGGAACAAATGGCGTATGAATCAATCGTTGATCACCGGCTACCATGGGACTGCATCTCCTTACGATGCTCCATCGCCTTGTGGATCAGATCTTTAGGTAAAAGGCTAAAGGTGTGGCCCCCCAAGAAAACCACCTGTTTCAGTTTGGGAACCGGGGCAGCATCACAGCCCTCACACAAATCAATGATAACTGCTACTGGCCTCATTGTTCTTGTGTGTCAGATATGTATTTGGTGCCCCCTTGTACCAATATTTATTTGTTCAAAATAAAATCAATGATAATGAATATATTTCTAGTGATTTAGAAAACAAGTTTAGGCGTCCGTGGAATCATAACAGTATTCACGCACTACTACGATGGCCTAAGCGTTCTCGGATTCACAGTAACTACAAGATTTACCTATAGCCAGCAAGTTGTACGGACTGAAAGACTAATAATAGGGAACAGAAAGACACCGATTGGTAATGATATCGAAGCAACTTACCAAGCTTCAGGGTTACCTCCAGGCATAAGACTTGGTCCATGTCTAGCACCCTCTTCTCCACCACTTACACCCGTCCCAACATAAAGGATCCCCTGCTTAGCTAACTCTGAACAACGTCTGTCAGTATCCATATACTCAGAATTTCCTCCATCGATTATAATGTCACCTTTTTCAAGCAAAGGTACCTAAGACAGAACAAATACAAGTTTATTTATGCATGTGTGCACGATAAAACACATTACAAAATTTTCGGATGTAAAACGGTACTTCGAATTGTTAAAAAAAATTTATTACACCGAATGTCTCATAAAAAAGCTGGACATTAGAAATTTTTCTCACGATTAATCGACTAGCTTTAATTATAAATATACAAATACTGATTGAAAACGGGTTTTGTCTCAGTTTGTTTCGTCCCAAATGGTTTAATACCGATATATATTCAACGCAAGTAAATCCACATTAAAACTATTAACACGAACTTTGTTTTGTACAGGCAGCGTGAAGTTGCAAGTCGAATAAGTAGAAAATTAGGACTTTGAACAAATTTATGTCAGTTTATGTTGTTATATTTGGAGTCAGAAAAGATAACAAAAGGAAAAACCAAAGAACTAAAATAATAGCCCCATTAATTTAAAACTAGAAGAAAATGCCCAAAGACACTTGAAATTAGGAAGATAATATCATATTAATAGTTAGAAACAAGATGATGAGGTATGGCTGCATTGAATATAGACTTCAACCTGTTTTCTAACATCTAGGAACTAATTAGAACCAATCACTTGATGATGAGGAAAACCAGTGGCTCACTTTAGGCAGGAAAAAACAGAAGACAATCTTTGTGTTTAGTGTAAAACATGTACAATCCAACATGTCACCAGAGTATTCTCGGTTATCCATATATCTCCAGAAGTGAGTTATAATGATCGTGAACAACTGGATGTCTCGTAACACTGGTGACAGTAAAACGCAAATTAAAGTGAATATATTGACCAGACTAAGTACGTGAAACCATGTAAAATGGAATAAAAACAGAAAGCCTGTGCTAAATCTTGCACAAATTTGGACCCACTAGTTTCGAAATAAAATCATCGACCGCTTGACCAGCTTTAACCAAGAGCATAGCTTTCCTAGGACGTTTCAAACTATGCACAAACTCTTCTAACGACATTGTTCCAATGATATTTGTTCCTTTGGCTTCATTCTCAATAAATTCTTTAACTTTAGAAACAGTTCGATTGTAAACTGAGACCTAAAGAGGAAATAGCGAGTGAAGAAATATATAATTACGGTAAATCCATGATCGTTCATGTTTAGGACCAGATTCTGACCCATTACTGCCAGACCAATCATGCCAATATCTGCCCTGGCCATCGTCAAACGAATTAGGTTGGAAACCAAATACCCCGCTAACAGATATCCAACCGAATGAAGGTTACCACTTCACCTCAATTGATGAGCTAAAACAATGCGATGAGCAACGCAAACCGAAATTATTCTTCAGAATGATGAAAATTATGATGATTATAAGCACTGAAAACCTCTGTGCAGATAAAAGTCCAGTAATTATTAGGAGTTTTTGGAAGAATAACAAGACAGTTCCGTGTCTCACAATCTCAACCTATACCGCACAATCTTCAGTCTTTAGTAATAAGGATAGGAGGTCTATTGACCTTTTTTATTACTTGCAGTTTGTTACACTGTGGAGATCCAATCTCGTCTTGAATATATCAACAGAAGGTGCTGATATTACGTGTTCTGGTAGAGAATTCCAGTAATTCACTACTCGGTGTGAGAAACGAAACTCCAGACGAAAACGATTTGATCTTGGTTTTTGAACTTTCTTCGAATGTCCTCCCAAATGATCAGCCATAGATGGAAGGAAAAGATAGAACGTGTTAGTACTAAGGTCATCGTTCAGGATACGATATGCCAATATTAGATCACCCCGTATTCGTCGTAAAATAAAGGAAATAAGTTGAGGTGTCTCAGTCTGTCTTCATAAGATAGGCCAGATAGACCTTTTACCATTTTTTTCCTGCGGCGTTGAACTCGTTCCAACACATCCGCCTCATATTTGAAACAAGGGTTCGCTGCTTGAATCCCATATTCCAAATGTGGCCGTACGAAAGTTGGTATAATAATCTAAACATTTCCTCATCCAGATACCGGAAAGATCTACGAATAGACCAAAATACCTTATAGCCTTTTGCAGCAGCAGCCTTATAGTGGCTGGTTGTTTTGAGATCATCGCTTAGTATGACTCCTAAATCTTTATAGTTTCTTAATTTGGGTGACACAAATCCACATATTGTGTAGTAATACGAATCATCGTAGTTATTTTATTGCATCACTACACTTCTGTTAGGATTTATTTCTAGTGGCCACCCGTTCATCCATGCCACTAATGAGTTAAGATCTTTCTGTAATACTATTCTGTCTGACATGCTATATATGGGTCTCTAAATCTTTATGTCATCGGTGAAGAGTAGGACGGATGACCTAGCTACAGTTGGTAATTCATTTACATAAAGCAAAAAGAGAAGAGGGCCGAGGATTGTGCCTTGGGACACTCCACTTTTTACTGGTTCCCACGATGAGAGAGCTCTGTTTACTCTTACCCTTTGTCTCCTGTCATGAAGAAAGTCACTTATCCAGTCTATGACTGCATAATGAATTCCAAAACTTTCCAGATTTAATTTAAGACTAGAATAGGAAACCTTATCAAAGGCTTAGATCTATGAAGATAACACCTGCGGGAATATTGCGATCTGAAGGTTAGACTCTTCCGAGCGAAAATAACAGCTCCTATCATTTATTTTACGCATTTTAGTCCTCTCTACTGTCTGAGCTTGTTATGGAAAGATGACCTTTTAAGCCCAGGTATTTAGAAAGACGGCTTTTTCAAAGTATTTTTGAGTGACTATTGGAAGCGATATTAAATTGTCAAGAGATGGCAGTTGTTAGCAAAAATGAATTATTTGATGAATAATAGGTATGAAACTACGATGCTGGATATCTGCCTAATGGGAAAAGCATCTCACCAACACAGTGCCACTCAGTAACGGCTGTTACCAGCTAGATGGTTATGAGTAGTTTAGTCTTTGAAAACTAACACTGTTGCCTCCAATGATAGGTAGTTTGTGGGCTGGCCATTTTCGCGAGGCATATGTCGCTGTAATTTAGGGACCATTTATTTATTCTGTATTCATTTGAACACATGAATATTGGTACGAGGGGGCACTATATATATATATATATATATATATATATATATATATATGCACCACACAATAACAATGTGAGTGGAAAATGAAAAAGAATATGACGCGCATATAAGAGAGAAGAAAAAAAGAACAATAACGACCACAGATCACCGTGTGGAAGTGTAATAATAATATTAATAATAATAACAATAATGGGGGAAACCTAAGGTACAAGCAGAAAGAATTCTTTCAGTTAGGGAAGTTACAACCACTTTTTATGAAGAAAGTAAAAGAAGGTTACAACGGGATCGCCACTAGCTTATATCCTGGGCCATATTTGATAACGTCTCTAGCCACTGTGTTGCACCATCTCTGGGACCCCGAACTAGGAGTCAAGTAGAACCAACAGAAGACAGCCCTTTGCAGCTTTTTTTCACCATGTCATACACTGACCACTTCTCCGCTTTCTCCAGCCAGTCTCAGAATCAGAAAATAATGCACGGCGTGGAATTCTCTAGGATGGCATTCGTAAAACATGTCCAAGCCACCGAAGTCGGTGTTTCAAGATGGTGACACCAACTGAATTATTGTATCTGCGCCCGAACATACGATGCCGAACCTCTATATTACTGACATGGTGTTGCCACTACATGTCAGCAATCCTTCTGAGACAAGGATGATCGAACACAGAGAATTGTCTTACATCCTCAACTCGAAGAGGCCAGGTTTCACAAGCATAGAGCTAAAACGGCTCTCACAGACGCGTTGTAGATCCAACCTTTTACAGCCAGACTAACATAACAAAGATGGCCCAGATTGGCATAAGCCGCTCTGGCTTTCATTATACGTGCATCGATCTCATCACTCACGCCACCACCAGCACTTATGCAGCTACCCAGATACACGAACTTCTCAACCACTTCTTCACCACCCAGAGTGAGTACAGGATTAGAATCCTGCCAGTCTTGTAGGAGTACTTTGCACTTCAAAGGTGCAGAGCACAGATCGTACTTATGCAGCTATTATTATTTACAAACATCTTATGGGCACGTAAGTGTTGTAAAGAAACCATTTCGGGTTCCTTCGAAAATGTAATATAACACAAGTTTCAATAGTGTTAGCATTATATTTGCCACATTTGAAAAAGAGAAACGAAAGAAAAAAGAAAAAACAATAATAAAATAATTATAAATCAAGTGCTGTGTAATTAAGAAGAATATCGAGTTCATTTTAGAGAAGGAAAGTAAGAAACTAAGGAAATAGAGATTAAAGGATACGCGAAATGAGTAAGTAGTTTAATAAGCGTGTTTATGGACACAGAATAAGAATGAACGACTATGTATGTATCATCAAATGAGTAACAAAAACAAGACAAAATAAATAAATAAATGAATAACTTATTATTGCGGTAAGATATGACGTTAGAACAAGTGTTTGTGCAGTCATAGCTTGGAGTGATGCTATGAAAGTTTCAATTAAGTGCAAGGGTCAGTCATTGTGTATGAGTAGTATATGCATAATAAAGATGAAGCTAGTGTGTGGGGTTGATTTAAGCGTAACACAAATTGTCTTAATGAAAACTTCGTAATCTTAAGAATAATATTTATTTAGACGGAAAAAGGAGAGAGCGAGAAAAAAACACCTAATGAAAGGGTCCAACCATGATAATAATAGTATAATAAATATAGAACTCTGAAGTAAACCAACAATTTAAAAAATATATATAAGGATAATTAATATGTATGAGTCGTATATGCATAGTGAAGAAGTTGATTTAAGTGCAACAGCCAGAAACAGATTCTAGTCTGTGAACAGTTGAAGTAGACGGTTCCCGTTATCTGACCAGCAACCAACAAGGCCCCATCTGCCAACTAAAAGAATCTCTTCTGTGTCTAGGCGCCCGACCTGAGCACTCAAATTTCCCGCTAGTACTACAATATCTGTCGAACGCACTGTAAAATCCAGACTAAGGTTTGGCTGAAGAATAACTGTCGCTGTAGTTTAGACACACCTCATTACCTCTTTGAGTTCAGAACAAAGCGATTAGGGAAATAACGGTTCTAAATTTCATTATAAATACAAATATTCATTGTTACCTAAACAAATATTACTACTCAGTTATTCAACCGATAATTGTTCCTACAATAATCGATCTCAATTGCAATAAATAGACAAATTGATAAGGAATGTAGAAAAATTACTAAACGCGCCAAAAGAAAAGTGCTATTCTATCCTTCCTGGATAGACAATTAAAAATCCGTTCAAAAGACGATATTTTGTTCCTTTATGACACGAAGTGTTTCCAATTCTGAAAAATTGCATCAATTCATAATGAAAATGCACGATCCCAGTCAACACAAGCAACACAATCAAAAACGGAACAATCAATATGGCTGCCGCCAAGATGAAATGTAAATTAAAACAAGATAGATACAGTTCAGGAAGAAACACAGAAACTCAGTGAATGCAAAAGAAAAATGAGAAAACCATAATAAAATAAAATATTACCGTCCCAAATAGCATCAAAAAGACTAACAAAAATGTACAACTAGAGAAACCAATAAAAACAAGTTTCAGATGTATGCATAGAGGGATTTTCACACACAAAATCTTCAAAATGGATCTTACACGCACTGTCTGGAGAAGAGCAGTTAGTTGGTGTTAGAATTCATCCTTGATTGCATCCGAGCTGCAATCCGTCAGGACATAGGTGGAGATGACGAAAAGACACCGTTTCTCACGCCGATTTCTTTACACTGGTGGTTTCAGAAAAACTATTTCAGTATTCGCAATCACTGAAAACATTCGATTTTCGACCAGTCAGTTAGTTCATAACGTTTAGATAGAACAGAAATCCCACCACAGGCGAGTTGCTGTATAGTTTGAAAAGCAAAAATAAACAGGGCGACAAGGGAAGTAGGTGAACAAGTGACACAGTACAAAAAAAATAATAATTAAAGTGAATGTCACCAAATGGGTATGGGTTATTTGAATTGTAAAAAGGAGTGCGAGCACTATATCTAGTAATCATTTTCATTTCATTCTAATTGCGTGACGGCCATGATACTGCCCGGGTGCCCAGTGTTACGTCCAATTATGAGATTTGCCCGTTCCAACTATTGAAGTACTGGCCGTCGATATTCCCAAATCACGAACCCAAGTAGGCAAGAGAACCAAAACTTCGAATTAAATACCAAGTTTATTCGCAATTCACAAATAACCGACCAAAGTCGTTCTAA